AAATGTAAGCCAAATAAACCTTTCCTCCTTTAACTTCCAGTGTCGGGTACTTTGTCTCAGCAACGAGAAAAGTGACTAACACACCATTCTCTACAGATGGCCTTTGTAACCAATAGCATCTGATTAGAAGGATGTGACTTCTTTTCAGCTGGGCCACAAAAGTCATGCAGCTTCTACCCCGCTGTTTCTTGCTCATTCACAGAAATGCCAGCCATAGGTTTTAAGATTGCTCAAGCAATGTAGGAGAGACCCATGCAGGAAGGGGCTAAGATTTGTAAGCAGCTCCCACCGATGAGTGTGTCATCTCTGAAGCAACTCTTTCTGCTCATCCAAGGCTTCAGGGAACTGTGGTCTGAGCCAACATGTTTGTGTGTGAAAGTGGTTCTGGAGATTGGACCTACAGAGTGCTGAGCTACATCCCCAGCCCTTTGTATTTTGAGATAAGGTCCTGCCTGCTAAACTGACCAATCTTCCTGCTTCAGCTTTCCAAGTAGCTGGGATTATAGGTGTGTGCCACTGTGTCTGGCCCAGCCAACATCTTGACTGCAATTTCATGAGCAACCCCTAGCTAGAAGCACCTAGCCATGCTGCTGCTGAATTTCCGAACCAAAGAAACTGAGAAATAACAAATGATGTGTTTTAAACTAGGTAGATATAAGACAAATAATAGAGGTACTTTGGTTTTTTTAACTGATATGGGAACAAATTTATATTAAGCAATAACAAAATAGGGCCAGGGAGGTAGCGCAGCGGTCTAAGGGCCTGCCTGGCAAGTGCAAGGACCTGCGTCTGATCCCCAGTACTGCATGCTGTGCTGGCCCCATGCTCTGCCAGCCACTGAAACCAGGCATAGTGGCACATGCGCACACCTGTAATCTCAGTGCTGAGGAGGCTGAGACAGGAGGATCACAATGAGTCCAAGCTGCATAGCGTGACCCTGTACCAAATAAATAAATAAATAAGATTTAAAAAATGTAAGAAATAACAAAAAAGTTCTTGTATTTAAAACAACAAAATATTCATATTCATAGCGCTAGCATATTGTTTTGGATTTAATTTTAGACTGAAAACTATTAAATGAAGATTTTTATGAGTATTGTTTACTTATATAAATCACCATGAGTGGCTGATTACTATAAATTATAACTTTGAGGAGAGGAATGTTATGGTGAGCAGGCAACTGTGAGACTTTATTATGCTTTCAGTAGGGAAAATAATACTTGCAAGGAAAGCAATTGTGAATCTCTGATTGCTCAGTTGTTCTGCTTCGAAAGTTTTGGCTGGCATGGAGCTCTTCAAGAACAGGTAGTAAAAGCAGTTACAGCCTTCTTTGTGGTCTTAAAAGGATACATTTTAATTATCCAAATGTTCTTATAATGTAAACTGTCTAAAATTATGTAAGAAATGTATTATTAAATAAAAACTTCCTTTCTATAATTGAATGGTAAGTATTCACAGATGCATGTTTACAATGCTGAGCTGCACTGAACAAAACATGGGCACATAGATTTTTCATTATCTTATCTGGTCCTCTTTTACTGTTATTTAAATGTATTTTGATTTACACTTCTATACACAGTAAGGGCTAATAATCCTTTAAAAGTCGGTCTGTATTTTATACAATAAAATATAAAGTTACTTGAAAAAAGCCTGTGGTTCAAATTTTAGTTACTGTGTTCTGAAAAATCTCAAGCAGTGAATTTAAAGTAGTTTCAGTACTTCAGAGATGGAGTGCTTGATTAGTACACCGGAAGTCTTGGGTTTGATTCCCAGCACAGAAAAAAAAAAAGTACTTTCAAATTGGTAATATCACTAGGTGCCTAGCAAGAACAAAAGAATATTTTTTTCTCCAAATGTGCTATTGTTTCAGCCTTCCAACCAGACCCTCTCTTTGACCTGCTTCTACCCTTAGCTACTACTCCAAGAATCTGCCCTTTTGTGTACTATAAGTACTGAGTGTTATTTTTTACAGTCATCCATCAATATTCACGGAGCATTGATCCCAGCACCTCTTTCCTCCCAGAGTAGCGGCTACAAAGACCCCACAATGTTCAAATCCCTCCTAGAAAACAGCATAGTTTAAAACTTATGGGCATCTTCCTGTGCAGTTTGAATCATCTCTAGATTATACTACTTAACACAATGTAAATGCTATACAAATAACCGTAGGGTTTTTGGTTTTTTGCTCGAGACAGGATTTGGCTGTGTAGTTCCAGCTTTACTTGAACACAGTGATCCTCCTGCCTCAGACTCCCAAGTGCTGGGATTACAGCTGTGCACCAGAACACCCGGCACAAATAATTGTTAGACTGTGTTGTTAGAGAGTAGGACAAAAGTGTATACATGCCTAATGCAGATGCACCAAACGTTCTCAACCTATAGTTGCATGAATATGAGGATGTAGAATCTACAGATAAAGAAGGCTGGCTTTACTTGATCTTGCCAATTCCTCGCCTCCCTCTCTCTTCTAGTTTGCATCCAAACTTGCTCAGAGAAAGCTTTGCCCCCATTACGCTGTAGATGGCAACTTTATCCTTACAGTTGCTCAGCCCAGACATTTTGGAACTATGTTTGATTCTTCTTTTCCTCCTCTCCCTATCCTAGCTTTCAGAAATCCTATTAGCTGGGCATCCAAATTCTATCTCAGAACCTGTACATTTCTTGCATTCTCCATGCTAACACCATAATGTGAGCTATCGGAATTCTGTTGTCTCCTTTTCATGAACTTCCTCAAAGGGATTTTTCTTATATTCATTAAGTTTCTTCCCAAAAAAGTAGCTTCCGCAATGTGTTTGGGATGTCAGTTAGATCCCTTTACTTCTCTGCTCAGAATGACTTCTCATTTCATTTAATGGCGACAGTTAAAGTTGAAGGCCTCCCATGATCTGAATCCTCATCTCATTCTTTACTGTTTACCCTTTTGCTCACTTGGCTTGGCCCATCCTGGCCCCTTACTGTTTGTCCAGCAGGCAAACTCCTGTCTCAGGACTTAGCCCCAGATGTTCTCTCCATGGATCCCCCTTTAGGAATCTCCAGTTCTTGCAATTTCCACTCAATGATGCCAACTTGACTATCTATTTAAAAGGGCAGCAAATCTTCTCCACACACTCATTTTCTGTTTCCTATGGTTTTTTCCACAGCGCTTATTACCTCTTAATATGTTTATGATTTTTTCTTCTAAGATCTCCAATAGTGTAGGGTAAGTTATAATGTCTGCTCTTTACTTTCAAATAATTTGGGGGGGTGGGGAGATGGTTCAGTAGAATCAGTGCTTGTCTGGCAAGTGCAAGGGCCTAAGTTCAATCCCTGGTTCCGCCAAAAAAGTAATAATAATAAGAATAATAATAATAATTTGGTCAGAATGGAAAAAAAAGAAAAGCTAGGATCCACTGGGGGTTATATAATTATTTCAGTAAGATATAAATAACACAAACACTTAGAAGGGTCGAAATGCTAAAGTTTGTAATGTATATATTATCATAATTAAAAAGAACGAAAATCTCAGTGTACCTGAAGCGTAAAAAATATTGTAAGACACTGTTTCAGTAAAAAATGTGTGGGCACTTATATGTTCTGGGTTTCCGAATACCATGTATTTCTTACTATTAGTCTCAGTCACAAAATTATTAGAGGATATTGTCAGGGCTGGCGAGACAGTTCAGCAGACTAAGCGCCTGCTTAGGCAAGCACAGAGGCTGGGGCTCGATTCCTGGCCCCACAGGCTGCACCAGCCCCATCTCCAGGGGCCCCGAGCCGGCCAATGAGACTGGGTGTGGTGGTGCACGCCTGGAACCCCAGCGTTAGGGAGGCTGAAAACAGGAGGATCACTATGAGTCCGAGCTGTGTAGTGAGACCCTGTACCAAATACATTAAAAAAAAGAAAATATTGTCGTAGCCGAAGTTCTGTACACACTCAACTGATTGACACGCATACAATAATTCACAGCAGCATTATTAAGAGGAATAGATGAAAATAATCCAACAGAGGTACTAGATTGCCTATGTAAACATAGTACCCTATTATTATGCGATGGAATACTATATAACAGTGAACAAGACAACTGCTTCCACCTGCTTTTATGTGATCCCAAAAGGAATGCTGTAAGCAGTGAATTATTGGAGAATACATATACCATCCCATAAACAACGCTTAAAATCAAACAAGGTCCTGAATAGTGAGACACACACGTGTGGAAAACTACAAAGAAAATAGAGAAAGGTGATATAAAGTTCAGAAAAGTAGTAATTAAAGATTAAAAGCTTAAAAGCTTAAAGTCATCAATCCAATTAAAAAGTCAAGTTCCGGGAATGTTTTTATTTCCTCAATCAATGTTCAAGAGAGCATCATACGGATATCCTGCTCTCATCTCTTTCCAGCTCCCAGCTCAGTCTCTGAGTAATTTTCACTTTTTTATAAAAGCATCGAGTGGTGCAGCAATCTATAGGAGCTGCGATATGTATCCTTTAGGTGCAACTTTCAAGGCGAGGCAACACCCTGCACAGTTCATTAACTAGTTACCGAACGAGTAAACGCACTTTGCTATACGTTAAGTTTACTCGAGTGCTTCACATTTTCGCTCAAGCTCTCTAGGCTTCGGTTCAAACCCTGCTTCTAAAGTCTCTGGGACCCGGTTCCAGGCTCGGAAAGTAGGGTATTTTTTCGCCAGGTCTCGGCATTGCATAATGATAAATGAATAAAGGCGTGCAATGTTGGCACGCAAAGGTGTTTCCCAGTCATCCAGGGCTGGGAAGTCCACAGCTAAGGATGCCCAGAGGAAGGAGACAAGGCGGCAACAGTTGGCCATCAATCAGTGGGTACAACACCTTGCGGGACTACACTGCCCGCAGGAGCTGTCTGACTAACCCCGCCCCCGTGCCAGTCTCGTGACGTCACGACGCCAGCCTCTTAATTGGCGGAACCGTACTCGGTCTGTTCCCGCGATGTTTCCTCTTCCGGGTCCCGAGCCCGCCTCCCTTCACCCCAACCCTGTGGTCAACCTCTGACCACGTTGTGAGCCGTGGAGACGCCGTAGACTGTACCAGCTTCCAGGACTCGCCCAGATAGCCGCGACTCTGCTCGAGACACCCACGGCCGCGAGGTTTGGCTCACAGGCACTCTGCCTGCCAGACCCACACAGCGCGGGACTCTCCGGGCGCGGCCGCGCGGGCTTGCTAGGGCCGGATGTAGAGCCTCGCCAGTTAGTTCAGTGTCGCCTTGCGGCTGTGACTCTGATTTCCGGTCGCTTAGGTCTCCATGGAGACTGCCCTTTAACCACTCGTTTTTCACCTGTCATTTGAACTCCACGTGGTTGGAACTCGCCCAGAGAATGTTTGTGGGACTCAGAAATATGTAGGTGGGAGGGAAGCCGCAGGAGGAATGAAGGTGCTGGCCACTTACGGCCGCTTCGTCAGGACGTTAGGGACCGGATTTTCCGTACTTGGGGTAGAACCCCACACGTTTAGGGTTCATCTGAGCACGCGTGACTGCCGAGTCTATTTTTGTGTAGTCTTGAAGGCTGCAGAAACGTTCTCCTGCACTGTACACAGAGAGTTGTTTTGCCACTTACCTTCCTCAGTCCCTTCCTTCTCACGGGTCACTCTCCTGGGAAGGGAACCTTCATTATCTCCCAAATCTAATCATGTCACTTGACTTTCTAGCTACGTCCATTTTGATTACTATTTTTGGCTTAAGGGTTGCTCACCTGACATTCCTGTATTGATTTCTTACATCCAACCGGACAATACATTCTTTAGTGTCAGGTAGTTCTGTCCGTTAGCTATAGAATGTACTTTAGATACCAGGCGGCTAACCCTCCCCCCATTTAAAGCCTGTATCACTTTCACAGCTTTCTGGCAAATGTTTGCTAATTCATTTATTTAGTCACCAAAAATTTTTAAGCACCTGTCATCTTCCAGGTGCTGTTTAGGAACTGAGAATTAAAAACACTGAACAAAACAAGGTTGCTGCCTTTATGAAGTTTACTGCTAGAAGAGAAAGACAATATATAAGAGTACAGATTAGAATAATTTCAGTTAGTGAGGGTGCTTTAAAGGGATTGTGTGCGTGTGCCTCTGAGTGGTGGTCACAAAAGGCTTCTCTTAGGAGGTGGTATCTGGGTAGAAATTGAATGATGGCAGGGTGGGCCTTGCTTAGATGTGGCAGAGGGAGCAGTCCTGGGCAGACTGAGAAGTGTAAACCCTGGTAGATGGGAGTAAGAGCATCAGGAAGTGGGAAGGGTCTTATGCAGGTAGAGGGTAGATTGAGGGTTGAGAGTGTGGCTCTGTGTGTGTGTGTGTGTGTGTTTTGAGGGGTTGATATGAATTACAGAGAAAGCCAGGGCCAGATTAGGGTTTTGAATGCCAGAGCATCAATTTTGGATTTTATGAAGGTGTAACTAGAAGCCCTTGGAAAGTTTTACGCAGAAAGTAAAAAGTGTTAGTGATACTTTTAAAACACTGAAAAGGTGGAAGAGAATGGACTCTTCAGAGACAAGGGTAGAAATAAGGGAAGCATTTAGGAGGCTGGAGCAGGTGACCAGGAGATGTGTGTGTTCAGTCACCTGCTTGGATAGTCCCCTGTTGGAAATGTTATTTACAGGTGACTCATTCCATTGTTGGCCCACAGAGTTCTTTAATATGAGCTGACATGTGTCACTGTGAAGTTTGCTCTGACTTCTACTGAGCCTTTTCTGTAAAGTACCCAGTAACTGTTTAAGGGACATGTCCTGTCTTTTTTCCAGGCTAAACACTTTTGGTTTAACTGTTCAGTTTCCTGAATGCATGACTTCAGACCCCGCACAGGCCTGGTTGTCCCTGGTAAGGTACATTGTTGAGGCTCCTTCGGGTGTGCATCCATCCTTGCATCCCTGCTCTGCTGGCCGGCTTCTCCTGTGGCTTTTAGCAGCCACTTGTGCTGTTGGCTGACATTCTGAGCTGTTTGAAGTCGTTTTGCTTCCTTCTGGAACCTTGTCCTGTATTTCTCCATGTCTATGTGTATTCGTGTGTTTCTAATTTAAGTGTAACATTTGACATTTCTATTTCATCTTGGTAGACTTCATGTTGCTTATTTTTCTACTTCACTGAGTTGATTCCATCCTTCAGCATGTCCTCCCAGTTTTATGTCTAAGTGCGTTATTTAATGTGCTCTGATGTTTACACTGTAAACACTGCTAAAAATGCTAACTACATGGCAAAAGCCTTGTGGTGTTTCTCTAGTGACTTCTTTCCAGATGACGTGGAATTATTATTGTGTAGGCTTTGAAGGTTTTTTAAGACATTATGAAGCCATTGATTTGTTCACTACAAGCAGCCTCACAAAAACTGTCCCTTATAAGGCCAGTGAGATAGCTCAGCAGACTAAGCACCTGCTTTGGCAAGAGCAGGGACCAGGGTTCCAGGGACCAGGGTTTGATCCCTGGGCGCACTGAGCCATTGACTGAGTCTGGGTGTGGTTGTTATGCCTATAATCCCAGCACTTGGGAGGCTGAAAACAAGAGGATCACATGAGTCTGATCTGGGTAGTGAGACCCTTTACTGAATACATTAAAAAAAATACATAAATGGAAATGAAAAAAATTTCCTTTATATTTTGTTAAAAGCAAGATAGAGTAGCACCTCCTAATCTGTCCATCTGACAAGCCTCTGAGATTAGTTTGACTCAATATATTTTTTGAAAAATGTTGATTTTGTTAGTTTTTGCTAAGATGAAGATTATCTTTGTATTTTAAAATACAAAGATATGTCATAGGGCCAGGGATATAGCTTAGTGGCATAAGTGCATGCCTAGCAAGTGCAAGATCCTGAGTTCGATTCCCTGTACCAAAAAACCCAAACAAACCAAGATGTGTCATAATAGGTAAAAGTAACTTTAGACGATAACTTTTCTTGACCTTATGAAAAGTTTTTTTTCAAGGTTCAAATCCTTAGATCAGTGATTCTCAACCTAGGGCAGTTTTACTACACAAAATAATGTTGGGGAGCATTTTTGGTTGTCACAATTTATGGGAGAGTGCTTGTTGCATGTAGTGCACAGTGGCAAGAAAGGCTGTAAGCGTCCTGCAGAGAACAGGACAACACTGCACAATAGAGGCTTATCTGGCCCAGCATGTCAGTGGTGTTGAGGTTGAGAAACCCTCACATGATAATGCATTAAACTTTATTTTCTTGCAGTGACTGCTGCTAATTTTGTTTAAAATGGGTGTAAAGAAGAAGAGAGAAATTCAAGTTGCTGCATTGACTGTTCATCAGCAGGACCTCGAAACTTTGAGATGTAGGTGATTTCTGGCTTTACTTGCTCTGTAATTCAGGCAGGCCTTGAATACTTTGTGTAGCCCAGGTTGGCCTCAAACTCACAGTGATTCTCCTGTCTCAGCCTCCAAGTGCTGGGATTACAGGCATGTAATATATTTAATGTATTAATATAGCCATATTAATAAACATTTATATTAATATTATAAACACAAATTATATGTATTAAATATATAAATATGTAAATGTATTTATTTGTATTAAACCACTTAATATATTTTCCAGTTTATAAGCAGGGTATTTTAATCTCTGGGACCAAGAGTACACAGTGTTCAAGCTTTATTTAATTTTTTGATATTTCATTCAATTTTTTTTTTTTTTTTTTTTTTGTTTTGCTCCTTGAATGCCTTCAGGGCACTTTTGCATGGCTTGAGTGTTGTGGGGATCGAACTACAGCAAACTGAGGCTGCCAGCATTGTGGAAGCAGCCACTTAAAGAACTGAGCTAGGGCTGGGCCCCCGTATTTCATTCAATTTTGGATGTCAAATAGTTGTTTCCATCTAAGACTTTTGTTTCATAATTTAAAAAATTATGTAGACTGCATAATCAAGTTAAACTTGTATCTATATATTGTTAAGTATATGGATTTTTTTTGTGTGTATATATGTGTGTTATATAGGTTTTGCTGATGTGGAAGGGAAGAATTTAGCTTCTTTGCTGTTACATTGTGTACAACTCAAGGATGGAGTATCACAAATCCATTATATTAAACAGGTAAGGCTGAAGTGTTCACTGGTAAATCTTGAAGATTATTAGGTTATTGTGGATTTTTAAAATTAACTGAGCCAGTTATGGTGGTACATGCCTGTAATCCTAGCACTGGGAGGCTGAGACAGGAGGATTACTTTAAGTTTGAGGCCAGCCTAGGCTACATAGTGAGTTCAAGGCCATCTTGAATTACAGAGCAAGACCCTGTCTCAAAAATAAATAAATAATCACCAAAAAATTAAGTTTTTCCTTAATTCATTGTGGAATAGCTTTTTACTTAAAGCCTTAATAAAAGCCATATTTAAGCTTCCACCATAATTAGAACAGTAAATCGATAGGATAGGAAATAATTATGCATTTTTTGTGGAAATAAATTTTTTAGTTATTTCTATTAATTTAAACCCTCACAACTCTTTAGCAGGCAATTTAAAAGTTAATTTAAAATATAAAGATTGACCTTGTTGGTATTTCACAATTTAGATTTATCATTTGAGCTTTCATAATATTTTTTGATAAAGCAATTGCCACCAATTTTTAAAGACTGCCACCAATTTTTCTATACCTTAAGCTAATACTAGGTCTGTGTTTCTCAGTGGAGTTAAGTGTGAAAGGTAAGGAGAGAGGCAGTGACATGGATTAAAAAGTTTAATAAGAAATGAAATAGATATTTAACAGGATCCTTAATGTAGTATGGAAACATTTCACTGTATAAGTGAGACTTAAGAGTATTTGTAACTATAACCTTGTTACTTTACTGTACTTGATATTAGAAAACATTACTTTGAATATTTTTGAATTATAGATTGTTCCTTTACTGGAGAAGGCAGATACAAATGGTGTGTGTGATCCAGCTATTCAGAGCTGTTTGGACATTTTAGCAGGCATTTATTATTCTCTGAGTCTGAAGAATCCCTTGAAGAAAGTACTGGCAAGGTAAGCATAATAAGGAGGGAAAGTCAGGTGTTAGAAAAACTAACCCAGGCTCCGGTCCTGTTTTGTTAAAACTGAACTGAGATATATCCTTTTTTTTTTTAAATTTTATTTATTTGTGTGTGTGTGTGTGTGTGTGTGTGTGTGGCCAGCTCAGCCCACCAGGGGGCGGGGCTGGCTGGCATGTGGTGCTGGGGGATCGAACCTCGGTCCCTGTGCTTTGCTAAGCTTGTTCTAAGTAGGTGCTTTAGACCACTGAGCCATCTCACCAGCCCCGATGTATCCTTAAGAATTTCCTTTCTACAGTTTCTTCTTTGTTTATCCATCTATCTATCCACCCACCCACCCACCCACCCACCCACTTCTTTAGACATGTAAAGTCTTCTTGGCTCACAGACCTTAAAAAGTAGGCTCTGTGGGCTTTGATCTGTGAGCCATAATTTTACTAATTCCCTTTTGTTAAATTTGTCATGTTGGTACTTTTTTCTCTATTTCTGCCAGCTGTTCTGACACATGTAATACAAGAATACATAGTTGATGCAAAAGTTTCAAGCAGTGTTGAAGGGCACCAAATGGTCGGCATGTATTTCACCATTTTGGCCTTTCTCATTTTCCTGAAAGGGTTGTCACAACATTTGGGGGATCTTTCATTCTTAACCTTTTCTTTGGCTTAGCATAAGTTATATATTTATAAATAAAATAAATGTGGTATGTTTCTATACATATAATGTACCATGCTACATAATGCTCTGTGGCTAAGAACATCTTAGAGATAGTTTCATGTTAGTATAGTCCTTTTAAAAAACTGAAGCAAAACCCCAAAACTTAAAATTTTCCTTCCTAAGTATATAGTTCTGTAGTGTTAAGTGCATTTATTTTATTTTACAGTTGGTGTCTAGAACCTTTCATGTTATAATACTGAAACTCCACACTCATTAAACAGCTCCCCATTTTCTCCTTCCCTAGCCTTTGGCATTTTATCCCCTGTTGCATATCTGTAGTAATCCAAGCACTCTGGGAGGCTGAGGCAGGAGGATCACAGTATGATCCCAGCTCAGGTAATTTAGTGCCTTATTGAGAGCCTTTCTCCAAAAAAAAAAGGAAATAGATCATCATGAAGGCTCTGAGTTCAACCTCCAGGACCAGGAAAAAAAAATTACTTTAGTAATAGAAGTCAAATATTGAGGCCGGGGAGTTAGCTCAGTAGAGTAAGTGCTTGCCTGGCAAGTGCAAAGGCCTGAGTTCAACCCCTGGTTCCACCAAAAAAAAAAAAAAAAAAAAAAAAAAAAAAGACAAATATTTGTCTTTGTGTTTCATTAAATATAGCATCTTCAAGATGAATTCTTGTTCTAGCATGTGACAGAATTTCTTTCCTTTATAAGGTTAAGTAATACTTCACTGTGTGTCTGTATACCACTCTCATTTATTCTCCACTGAGGGGCACTTGGGTTCTTTCTACCTCTTGGCTGTTGTGATTGCTATTATCATAAAAGTGTGCAAATATTTGAGATCATGCTTTCACCTCTTTGGATGTATTCACAGATATGGGATTGCTAGATTGTGTGGTAATTCTGTTTTTAACTTTTTAAAGAACTGCTATTCTGTTTCCATAATGTAACATTTTACATTTTTACCAATAGTTTTTTCTTAGAGGTTTCAATATTTCATCTTATGGGTATACCAGAATATATATTATAGTGTATCTTAAGTGGTTTGTTTAATCATTTTCCCATTGGTAGTTTTAAATTTTTTTATACTTAATAGTGCTGAAATAGTTATCTTAATTATATGTGTAATTCTATATGTGTTTTAATGTGAAAGAGTTCATTGAAGTAGGAACAGAAATCATACTAATTTTTATACATATTGTTAAATTGTATTTCCCCAAAGCTATTCCAGTTTATACCTCTACTAGCTGTATATTATCCTTTTTTAAAAGGATCTTTGTAGCACTGGCTAATTCCTTCTCCCCTCCCTCCATCCTTTCTTTTCTTTTTGTGGTCCTGGGGATTGAGCCCAGGGCCTTCACACTTACCTACATCCCCAGGTTTTTGTTTTTAATCTTTGAGGTAAGGTCTTGCTTTGCTGCTCAGTTGCCCAGGCTTGGATTAAATTTGCATTCCTCCTGCCTCGGTTTCCCATAGTGCCTGCGTTCTAGGCATGCACCATCTTACCCAACTAATATCATGTTTAAATATTTTAGAATCTAAAGATGTGAATTTCTGTCTTGTTACAATTTGCATTTCCTAGATTACTGGTAAGAATGAACTTTTTTGTTGTTTGTTTTTGAGACAGGATCTCACTATGCAGTTTAGGCTGGCCTTGAACTCTGTGTAGCCCAGGCTGGCCTGAAATTTGCAGCAACACTTCTGCCTCAGTTTACTGAGTGCTGCTAGGATTATGTGTGCACTATCATATCTGGCTGGAGTGAACATTTTTGATGTGCAGAGTTTGACTGTCCTAATCATTACATAGCCTTTGTATATTTTCTTGCTAGTATTTTTTTTTTTTTGACTTACAAGAATTTTTTGCATAGAATGTATGTAAAATTATTCCTTTATTTTCTTACTTTAGATTAATTGATGGTATCTTAATAAAAGTTTTCTTATCAATTTTGATAATTTTCTTTGTATAGATTTCTGAATTTCATGCCTTTGGTGTGGTTTCTTTAGTGCAAACTTAATTTAAAACTATTTCCTGGGGCCGGGGAGATGGCTCAGTGGACTAAGCGCTTCCCTGGCAAGCTCAAGAGCCTGAGTTCAATCCCTGGTTCCGCAAAAAAACAAAAAAACCCCACAAAACTATTTCTTGTCTTATAATTTTGTTGTTGTTGTACTTTTAAATCCATCTGGAATTCAGTTTTGAGTGTAATAGAGTAATGATATAGGGGTCACTTAACCCCAGACTGTTAATAGTCTGTTTTTCTACACATATTTATAGAGTGTCACCGGTGTTATTTGTTCCAGTGTAAACATGGAATTGACAGATTTTAGACTTTTTGATATATTGGCCACTCACTACATCATTTACTCGTGTTTGATAATATGGTTTAATTACTTAATGGAGTAAATTAGTTTTCTACTGATTCTTCTTTTTTAGAATATTCTAACTTTTGAATTTTTTTCCAGAAAAGATTTAAACTGTTCAAATTTTTAAAAAGCCAGTTAGTTTTGGTTTAGATTAATTAAGGTAAAATTTATATAAGTAAGTTATCCATTTAATTTTTTTATTGTCTGCCCACTCTGTTTCAAATATTCTTGTAAGGGTTGGGAATATTAATGAATAAAATGGTTTAGAGTGGGCTTGTGTTCCAGAAGACAGAAAATAGATAACATAAATAACATATACAGGATATTAGCTTGTATGAGAGTTATGGAGGAGAAGAAAGCAGAAAGGAGAAAAAGAGCACCAAGAATGGGTGGGCTGTTAATGTGAAATATGGTGGTCCCTTCATATATGCTGCACTCAGGAAATGAGGGCATTTTGTTTGAGATTGACCTACAAAGTCTGAGGCAGTGGTTGATGGGTATTTGAGGGAAGCATTCTGAGGGAAGGAGATACTCTCATAGGGGAAGGACTTGGTTAAGTGATCTAGATCAGTACTAAAGGGGAGATGTCAGAAGGTCTTTCAGTCACTGTAAACTGTATTTGTTGGTGTGCACTTATGTTGAAGTTGTTGGTGGCTTTTAGGCAGATGGTTGGTCTCCATATCCATGAGTTCTGCCTTCATCCAACCATGTGTCAAAAATATTTGAAAAATTGCATCTGAATGGTTATGTGCAGACTTGTTTTCCTTGTTATTTCCTAAAAATACAGTGCTTACATTACATTTATGTTATATGAGGTATTGGAAGTAACCTAGGGGTGATCTAAAGAGTACAGCAGGATGTGCACAGGTTGTAATAGGAGATTTCACTGTCCCTGGAGTTTGGTATCTGTGGGGTTTCTGGAATCAGTCCCACTTGGACACTGAGAGAAGACTGACATAGTGTTGTAGTATTATCCCTCTGACTGTTATATTGAGTATAGATGGGAGTTAAGAGGGAAGCAGGATGAATCAGGAAGACCAGATGAGAAAGGACAGACCACTAATTCCCATGAGGATGGCGTGAGGTTGTAATGATGAAGATTTAATTCAATATTCATGAATTTGTCTGATTCACCTTCCTCACATATCCTGGTGGTACAGAGTTTTTAGGTTTTTAATATTTCATTCTTTTTTATAGCTCACTAAATGGCTTACCTGAATCTTTTCAAACTGAGGCTATACACAGTTTTACCTCTCATCTTGAAGAAGAGTTGAATACTACTGATCTGTACTCTTACAGGAAAGTAGTTGACAATATATCTTGCTGTATGGACAATTTTAGCTTAGGTAAGCCAATATATTTCTAGTGTGTTTTCTAATATTGTTATTACATCATTGTCATTAAGTGTTGTTTATTTTAGTGAACCTCCCTACTGGTATTTTTTTTTTTTTTCCCTTGTAGGTAGAGCAAGTGTTAGTAATCTGCTTAAAAATGGTAAGTCCTTTTATTTTACTTTGTTTTACAAGCAGTTCCTGCTTGTGTGAGGCCTTTTGGAACTGTCTTGTTAAGTTTCTTGGCAGTGAGTAGAGTACTACAGGTACCTAAAGTACACCACGCTCCTCATAATTTCAGTTGTGTGTTATGATAATCATTTGAAGTAACTGACTTAAAATATTTTCTGGTATCATAGTTAAAGCTCACAGTTTTAAGTTGTGACTTGTCACTGTATTCTTTTTTTTTTAAGTGCTTCATTTTCTGTGGAGGAGTTTAACTGAAACCCTGGAAGAAAATAGGTGAGTGCTGAGTGTTTGCATGCTCCTTGTGTGTGTAAGTGCACACTTGCAGGTATCCCTGGTCTCTGTATAAAGTAAATTTTCAAGAAGGCCTCAGGTTGTGTTGTTTGCTGTGTGATTTCTGCCCTTCTTGATTAATATTAAATGTAATTATTTAAGTTTATTTTCTGTTTATTTGCTAGTATTTTTAATAGGTCAAGTAAGTTATCCTGAGAATTAGTATTTCTTCTCCTTAGAATCCTGTTTTATTTCATGGGTGCTGTTTCCTCTGCTGCCGCTCTGAAGATAATAATGTTACTTGATTTTTGTTTGTTTGTTCACTTAAAGTTTTACCATCTTTCCGTAGTTTCTGTTTCTTGTAAGTTGCTTTCCCCATGTATTCTGGGTTTGGTCTCTACATTTTCAATTAGAAATTTTCCTCAGAGGTATAGTGGCCAGGGCTGGGGAGATAGCTCAGCAGACTAAGCGCCTTCCTGGCAAGCATGAGGACCTGTTGGAGTCCTAAGGTGGGCCATGCTGGCCGCAAAACCAGGTGTGGTGGCGCACACCTGTAATCCCAGTGCTGGGGGTGCTGAGACAGAAGGATCACTACGTGTTTCAGCTGCATAGTGAGACCCTGTACTAATAAAGAAATAAAAGATTTAAAAAAAAATAGAAGAAGTCTAATGGCCTTGGGTGAGGTATTTGTACTTCAGTATACAGCACTGAGGTCTGATTGGATGTGTCAGTCAGCTTTCCTGTCACTGGGACCCAAGGCCCAGCAACTGCAGCTTCAAAGAGGAGGGTTTAATTTGGCTCTTGGTTTCAAGTACTTAGTCCCTGGTCAGCTGGCTTCAGGGCAGAAACAGCAAGGCAGAAGGCCTTGGTGGAGGTAGGCTGCAAACATCATGGCAGCCAGGAAGCTGAGAGTGAGGGGAGGACCGCTTCCAGAGGCGTCCCCCAGCAGCATGTCTCTTTCAACCAGGCCCTGCCTGCTCATAGCACGTTTACTGAGCTCATCAGTGGATCAGTCTACTCATGAGTATCAGGTCCAGTGACCCAGTCACCTTCCAAAGGCCCCGACTTTGAACAAGGCTTTGGGGGGACCTTCTATGTCTAAGCCATAATAATGGGATTGACTGCAGGTTTTGTTTATATTCGATAATCCTATATTTATTTATTTATTTATTTATTTTTGGTACCAAGGATTGAACTCAGGACTTTGCATTTGCCAGACAGGCCTGTGCCACTGAGCTATATCCCCAGCCCTATGTTTGATATTTTAAGGAACTCCCAAAGTGTTTTTTATGAATTGTGTTTTAGTAATAGGATCAGTCTGTGTTCTCCTCTTTGAAAAATAGACTGGGAAATGCCAGAGTAAAACTGGGAGACCAGTTTGAAACTATTGTAGTAATCTAGATTAGAGATGAAAGTCCTCAGGCTAGATGGTAGCAGTGAAGGTGGTCTGATTGCAGTTACATTTTGAAGCTAGAGCCAATAGACCGTTCTGACAGATGAGATGAAGAGGACAGGAGGTAGGGGTGATTGTAATGCTTTTTGTAGGCAGAGACTCCAGCAGGGGGAATAGTTGTGGAGTTGAACATAAATTAAGAGAAGTATCTGTTAGACATTGAAATGATATTGAATAGCAAGTTAGATGTCCAAATCTGGGTTTATGATGTCCGAGTTGAAGGTAAAAATTCAGAAATGATTAGCATTGTGAATTAGATAAGCTTAGCATTAGGGAGAGAATTAATGGTGAAAGGAATAAGGCTAAAAACTGAGTTCTGCAGGGCTCTGATGTAAAGAGGCTAGGGAGGGCTAAGGGCGTAGCCCAGTGGTAGAGCAGCTGTTCGACATGTTTGGGGCCCTGAGTTCTCTGGGAAGAAGTGATTGTGAGAAAACGTCAGAGTGTGGCATGTTGGTAGCCGTGTGTGGGGCTGGGGAGATAGCTCAGTAGAATAAGCACCTGCCTGGCAAGTACAGGGTCCTCAGTTCAATCCCTGGTACCGCAAAAAAAAAAAAAAAAAAAAAGAGAGAGAGAGAGAGAGAAAAGGATCGGGTAGCCATGTGAAAAAAGTGTTAGAATTGAGGGAATGTTCAAGTGTGTAAATGGCGTTATTCATTCTCCCCTCCTCTGCACTGCCATGCCCCTCCCTCCCCTCTTTTCTGAATTTCTGATTCAATCTAAAATAACAAGTGAGAGTGAGGTTATTATCTGATAAGAATGATAGACCTGTTGAGAGTGTTGGAAGTTTGTGATAATGTCTGTGTTATTGAACTATTTATGCAAATGGTAGAGGCATAAATGTCCAATGTAATCTAAAATTGATTTTGGTGATTTGGTTGAGGAATGTGCTTATTTTGGAGAGCGTTAGGAATGATGACACTTTCATTTGAATTTTCTTTTGTAATGATATTTTTTTTTGTAGAAAGTTTGCTGGAAATCATATTGTTCAAACACAATTGATGAATGACTTGTTGGTAGGCATTAGAGTTTCAATGACATTAGTACAGAAAGTACAAGATTTCCAGGAAAATCTTTGGAAGGCTTCTGGTTCTCCCATATGGCAAAGTATGTGTGACTTGCTGGGCGTTTTCACCAACTTTTTAAGTGATGGTAAGTGTCTGATGGTTATGTTGAGTATTAATCAGCTTTCCCTAGTAAAGATATGAAGTGTATTTATCTGAGTTTTAAACTTCCTCTTTCTCAGCTTCTTAAAAAGTGGAGAAAGTTTGTGGATTGCATGGCTTTAATCCTTTTCTTTCAAACGTACTAGTTTAGCAAGGGGTAATGTTGAAGGACTTTTCTAAGTTTGTGCGTGTGTTATGTGTTTTGATCATAGAAAAGAACCCATGAATTCTTAGTGCTGAAAACCATAGACTTAAGTAGCAAAAGAAAATTGTTTCAAAGAAATCTCCATATTCAGAGAGGAGGTTTGGAAAATGTAGCTCTCATATTTTTCCATAACAACTCATGTTATCTTCAGATAATGACAACTGATTGTGAGCCTGGTCATACTCTTTTTATATCTCATATGTAACTTTTGTCTGTATGAACTGTACCATCAAGAAACCAAATAGGGCCAGGGAGATAGCTCAGTAGAATAAGGTCCTGAGTTCAATCCCTGGTACTAGAGGGGGGAAAAAAACCCAAAAACAAAAACACAAATAGATACAGGGAAATTTCTCTAATTAATTGAAATCAAGTGATACATAACCATTTTTAGAAAAAATTTAAAAAATCTTTTTATTTATTTGGTACAGGGTCTCACTACACAGCTCGGACTCATAGTGATCCTCCTGGCTCAGCCTCCCCAGCCCTGGGATTATAGGCTTGCGCCAAAATGCTTGGTTTTGGTGGCTGGCACAGCGTGAGCCCAGGGTTCTGGGGCTGGCGTGGCATGTGGCACTGGGAACTGAACTCAGTCCTTGAGCTTCCCAGGCAGGCACTTAGACCACCGAGCTATTTCCCTAGCCCAGTATCCCCATTTTGTAACCCTTTGTGATTGGATATAGGCAGCATTACAAGTTAACAATTGGTAACTTGCAGGAACAGGAGAAACACATGTGTGCCTGTTTGAGTATTGCAGCAAATATCAAAGGGATCACATGTGAGAAGGCTCCTGGCTTTCAGTTTGCAGGAATTATAGAAGGCAGAGGAATACAGAGGAATGTTGAATTGCATCAGGAGTCTAGATTATGGGATGCTCCATAGGTCAGATGGCCAGTGTTCAGAGAGACTGCAGTGAAAAGGGACAAAGGGCATTTTGTCCCTTTTATCCTTTAGTGGCATCTAAAAGATACTTAAACAAATCAAAACAACTCTAGTGTTTAGAAGTGCACATTTAATTGATAAAACTAATGGAAACTATAAGGAAGTTGTTATTCTGGAAGTCTGGGTGGTGCTCACTGGGAGTAAGGAGTGTTTGGGAAGGGGTTGCACATGGATTAACCTTCAGAGCTGGGGGCCAAGTTCTCTGTTGGGGATGGTGAGTCTAGGAGTTATCAACTTGTATAATTTATTAACCTGTAAGTTTTGGATCTTTTATATCTATTTTTGTTGTATTAACAAAAAGGATACCTAAGATATTACTTCCATAAAAATTAAATTATCCTTTCCCTTTTTATCTCTAATTCTACATGGTAAATATATATAAATTTAATATAGTTTTGTTAAATTTAGTTAATGTTTTCCGACAGGGCTTTGCTGCATAGTCTAGGCTGTTCTTTTTTTTTTTTTTTTTTTTCAAAGTTTTTTTGATAAACAGCAATGAGACAGTTTCAAATCCAATCGGAAGTACAGTTTCAACAAATAACACACTGTATATATTCTTCTTAGTGGTTAATTGCTGTACAAGAAGTGGACTTGTGATCCTATTTACAAACACCATTAGAACAAATCATTCTACTCATTAAGAGAATGCAACTATATATCTATCCTAACCACTTGGAATACACAAATACAAAACGGACATTCATCGGTATACCCCATTTTTTCTAAGTTCCGTTATTGAATATTATAGGTGTGTAATCTCAGCAAAATATTCTAAAAGAGTCCAGTAGCCCATAATAGCATTGGGTCTTCTGTTTAACTGGCAATGTCAGAAATTATTGACCTGAGTCCCCCACAGCTCAACATAACAGCATGGCTTTATTTCCTATATTTCATCTTCATACTTTTCTACTGGATGGTTAAGACCAAGGTAAAGCAGAACCTATGCAGCAAGAGTTGTAGCTTTTTGGTTTGAGAAGGTCAGTGAAATGCCCTCAGGATTTATCCTGAGATCCTGTACCTCAGATTGTAGAACCTTTATCAGTGCAGCCATGTGGATGAGTCACGGCCATTGCTTGGCCAATGTGCTCTCTGTGAAAGCCTGAGAGAGTGTCTTCTCATGTGACTCTCCTTAGGCACACTCCACGTCATCGATCAATTTCCTCTTTGGCCCCATAACCTTCTTCATCAGAAAATCTGGGACACTTCCGAGGTACTTGACGTTACAGTACAAGTTCTCATATGTCCTCAGTCTTAATTGACCTTAGAAGGGTAGGGCCAAAATATTGGCTTTAGGCTGTTCTTGAACTTAACTAGGTAGCCCAGGCTGGCCTTGAAGTTGTGACAACCTTCCTGCATCAGTTTGGGATTACAGGCATGTACCACCATGCTTAGCCAGAATTTAATATAGTTTTTTTTTTTTTTTTTTTTTGCTCTCAATGCCTTCAGGGCAGGTTTGGCTGGCTTGAGTTGTGGGGATCGAACCACAGCAACCTGAGCCTGACTGCTTTGTTGAAGCAGCCACTTAAAGAACTGAGCTAAGGGGCAGGCCCTCTTTAATATGGTTTTAACAAATTTTCAGTGGGTTAAGTTTAGACTTTTTTGGTAACTAGTAATTGACTCTAGTTTTGCTAAGCTGATTGAAATAAAATAGTATCTTATATTTTTTACTGTAGTAACTAGTAATAGTCCTAGTATAATTATTGTTCAGTTATTATTTCCATTTTTATTTTTGCCCGGGATCTCAGCTAGTATTAAAAAAGGAAGATAAGGTGGAGTGGAGCAGCTGGGGTTCGATTCTCAGCATGCTGTGCTAGCCCTGCCCCTGGGGCATGTTGAGATTGATTGAAACTGGGCACGGTGGTGCATGGGCCTGTAATCCCCATGCTTGGGAGGCTGAGAACAGGAGAATCACTATGAGTCTGATCTATGGAGTGAGACCCTGTAGATCCTGTGCTAAAATACATTAAAAAAGGAAGACAAATTAATCAAAGTTATTTTTTAGACATAATTCATAGATACCTTTTCAGAGGTTTTTTGTTTTTGTTTTTTGTTTTGTACTGGGGATTGACTCCAGGGCCTTCACACTGATACACATCCACATCCCTTTTTAGTTCATATTTTGAGACAGAGTCTGACTAAATTGCCCAGACGGGGATAACACGTGGGGTCCTCCTGCCTTGGTCTCCTTGAGTGCTGAAATTATAGATGCCTGAGTAGGATATTTGATTTTATTAAAATAGGATTTGTTATTCTAAAAAAACCAACCAAAGAAAAACCCTGAACACTTGTGAAATACAGAGAATATATGATTTTAATAGGAGGTAGTTTCTTTTCTGAAAAGCTGATGACAGTGTTCTCCAGGATTTTTTTTTTTTTTTTAAATTTTAAGGAAGGATCTGCAGGGTTTTCAGGGTCTCACTACTAGATCGGACTCGTACTGATGCGCCTGCTTATAGCATCCAAAGAGCTGGGATTACAGTTACACGCACCACCCTGCCCAGTCTCAACTGCTGTCTCAGCATGCCCCGGGGACGGGGCCAGCACAGCAAGCCCGGGGATTGAATCCCTGGCCTGTGCACCTGCTTACAGGCACTTTAATCTGCTGAGCTATTTGGCTGGCCGTCTCCATGATTTTAAAGCTTTATATAGCAGCTGTGTATGTGTAGCTGTAACAGAAAATCAAACTTCAGAGATGAAAGCAAATATACTTCCCCTTCCTTCCCAGATAATCAGAAGTTCTGCAGCAAGTAACCCAGAATTGCTGTGCATAGTGCAGGACCCAAATACTTCCTGCCTTTCTGGTTTGGTATGTTTAGAATGGTGGCTTTCAGGCCAGGGAGATGGCTCAGTAGAATAAGTGCTTCCCTGGCAAGCGCAAGAGTCTGAGTTCAATCCCCAGTTCTGCCAAAAAAGAAAAAAGAAAAGAATGGTGGCTTTCGTTTGTGTTTGTTGCCTCATGTTTGCTATACGTAGCTCCAGACATCATGTCTGTGTTCTTTTAATTGGGAAAGACAAAGGCGCATGGGCTGGCTGAACCCTATCACATGACTGCCTTTGGTTGTAAAGAAGATTCAGGAAGCAAGCGTCTTGCTTTTGCATGTGGCTGCCCCATAGTCAGCTTCGTTATGAGGGATGAAGGGCGGGATGGATGTTTAGTGGCTAATTCTTGGTGTCTTTCATACTTCTTAGTCCAGCTTGAATAAATCACCATATTATCAGGCAGCTAGAGATAGACAAAAAGGAGATACCCAGTCAAAATTACTTGCTTTGAGTACAGTGCCAGTGATAACAGTTTATAATTAGCACTGATACAGTTTTTTTTACATCCCTTTAAGAAAAATGCTTGCCTTTGACCTGGGTTTCAGAGGCATTGGTGGAGGGGAGGGAATAGGTGGTATTGCCAATGGGAGTGTTAAGAAGTTGTTGATGGAGAGAAAAGAGTGGATGAGAGGGAAGAGAGGACAGAATCACATTTATTAACTATCTGTGTGCTGGCATTGAAAGCCTTCATGTTCATTGTTCTTGTAAGCCTTATACCTTTTATCAGATAGGATTGTATTTTCCCACTTTACAGTAGTGAAAGCTGAGCTCCTGGGAGGTTAATCAGTAACATGTTCCAGACCCACTCAGCTAGGGAGTGGTCAGGCTGGAAGCCACAGACTGGAGTCTCTGACCCCAAGGCACCTACTTGTGCACTGTACTGGAGCATCTATCTTTAACACACATTCTCTCCTCTTTTGCCAAATAGATGAGCTATTGCAGACAATTCAGAGTACTTCTGGATTAGCTGTTATTCTTTTTATTAAGACTATGTTCCAACCATCTGAAAATATTCCTAACTTGGTAAGTACACCTCCTTTTTAGAATTGTACTTTCTTGAGAATTAGATGTGTGTTTTAAAAAGTTTGGTTTTTTTGTGTTACCAGTTGAACCTCAGGTAAAAAATATTTGTAAAGTGAATTAAAGTTTTCTTTTGAGGCCGGCAAGTAGCTGAGCGGATTAAAGCACCTGCAAGCAGGCGCAAGGGCCAGGGGTTCAATCCCCAGGCCTGCCATGCTGGGCCCCGCCCCCAGGGCATGCTGAGACAACAATTGAGACTGGGTGTGGTGGTGTGTGCTTGTAATCCCAGCTCTTGGGAGGCTATAAACAGGTGGATCACTATGAGTCCCATGTAGTAGTGAGATGAACACCCTGTAGACCCTTCTCTAAAATTAAAAAAAAAATTCTTCTGCACAGTGGATGTTTTTGATGATTTTCTTCTATAAAGACAATTCCAAAAAGGAAGACAATAACAGTCACCTGAAAGCCTATCTCAAAGATAATTACTGTTGGCATCTTGGGGGTAAATACTCTTTTAGTTGTTCATAGTGTTTAATTCCATTTCTCAGTATCATAAAAGATATTTGTAAGAGTAAAATTATGCAGTGATTAATGTATAGAAATAAAAACTAATAAGTTTCTGATAACTGTATTCTTTTTGGTAATAATAAGCCAAATCATATGCGTTATGATAGGAAGCATTGTTGACTTCAGTTTTTTAGTGAATTGAGTCATATTGGAGATATAATTTGGTAATTTAGATCACAGTTTTATGTATACTACAAGTTTTTTTCCATTTACTGTATTATCTGGAAATTTATCCTTTTACTGTTGTAACATTATAAAAAATACATGTGTGCTATTCTGAGTTCACAGAAAGTAACTGGGTAAAATTGAAAAATTTTTTCAAATCACCTCTAAAAGCAGTAAGGGGCTGGTGAGATGGCTCAGTGGTTTAAAGCACCTACTTAGAACAAACTAAGCTTAGCAAAGCACAGGGACCACAGTTCAATCCCCAGCACCACATGCCAGCCAGCCCCGTCCCCTCGTGGGCTGAGCTGGCCACACACACACACAAAATACATAAAAAAAAAAAAAAAAAAAAAGCAGTAAGCTCATCCACCTACAGCTGGCATGTGTTGTGCTCTACTATACTTTCAAATAAGCAAAAAATTTATGTACTTGGATATAAAATTTTTCCATTTATTTATTACGTATTTAGTACAGGGTCTACAGGGTCTCACTGCACAGATTGGATTCGTGGTGATCCTTCTGTTTTCAGTCTCAATCGCTGTCTCAGAGCGCTCTGGAGCCAGGACCGGCACCGCATCCCAGGCATCGAACCCCAGTCCCTGCGCCTGAGCTATCTGGCCAGTCCTCCACTTTTTCCTTTTAGTATTAATATTAGTGTAGCAATTTAATGTTTATGGCTGCATTACCATTATTTTTCCTAGGATACTTCAGGGGAAAGAGATTTTTTGATTCTTGAATTCAGTTATTTGAATCTGTTTGGTACAGGGTCTCACTATGCAGCTGGACTTGCAGTGATCCTCCTGTCTGAGCCTCCCCAACACTGTGATTACAGTGGTGCACCACCACACCTGGGGTCAAAGGCTCCCTGCATCCAGGAGTGGGGCTGGAACAGCCTGTGGTGCCAGGGATTGAACCCTGGTCCCTACACTTGCCTAAGCAGGCACTTAGTCCAGTGAGCTATCTTGCTGGCCCAATTTTTGGATTTATATTTTGAAATAGCTTTTGAAAAGCTTAGATTTTATATTTGTTATTTCTGTATTTTTCCAGATTAGCAGTTTACTTCTCCGCTCAGTGAACTGCGCCATGGTCCCAGAGTGGTTGCTGAGCAGCTGCAGGAGCCTTTGTTGCGCTGACATCCCTGCATCAGCTCTCTTATTCCTGTGTCAGGGGACACTTGCGATGTTGGACTGGCAGAATGGCAGCATGAGCCCTCATGGGGAGACCCTGCTCTTAGATACTGTGCATGTTTTGTTCTTCTTGAGTCCACAGTGAGTTGTGACTGACTTTGCTGTCTTACATTTTGTTTTGCTTGTAAGACGTTTAAAAGGTGGCCTAAGGGCTTGGGAGATAGCTTAGCGACACAGTGCTTCCCTGGCAAGCTCAAGGTTCTGAGTTCGATACCCAGGATAGATAGATAGAGAGATAGATAGATAGATAGATAGATAGATGAATGGATGAAAATAAAAGATGCTTGGAGCCAACATAATAATTTAATGAAAAGTGATTAGAATAAATCCTAATTAAAATGATATAGGCATAGGGAGTGTGATAGAGAATATGGGATAAAGGAGGAAAGAGAGAGAGCTATAGAAATTGTTGGTACAGGTTAACTTGAAATGAACATCTCTAAAATTAATTTTAACTCTCAGGCTGTGTAGTAGATTTTTTAAAGCTGTGGAAACTCGGAGTGAGGTATGTAGCTTAGCTTAGTGGGTTCAGTACACACTAGATTCAGTCCTTAGCACCAAAACTAACAAGCAAAATGAAACTAAACTTTTCTATATTGATATCAAGGCATGGTGGCACATACCTGTAATTCCAGCATTTGGGAGACTGAGGCAGGAGGATTACTGCGAGTTTAAGGCCAGCCTGAGCCACATAATAAGACATTGTCCCCCAAATTTTTTCCTATGTGTACAGTATTTTAGAATTTATAAAGAACTTCAACATAGTGTATGCCTGTTAGATAAGAAATCTAATTGGTGGAACTGGGAAAATATAGCTTAGAAAAGTAAATGTTTACTTACAAGCATATTTCTAATAAAAACCTGAGCCAGCAATTGTTATAAGACCTTTTGGCTTCACAGAGCTGTGTTTTGTGTTTCTTTGGTGTTTTAGCCATAATGGCTGAAAGCGATCATATATTTAATATATCAAACTATAGATAAATGGATAATAATGAGGACAAGTATAGTAAAAAACCTATAGTCTTCTGAAAGAATTTTTAATATATTGGAGTTATACTTTGTGCACTGTCCATTTCATATTTTTAAAATTTGCAATTCAGGTTTTTGTATTTCCAATATGTTCAGAGTTCCTTAACCATTGTTATAATCAACTTTGTGGATATTTTCATCATTCTAAAAAGAACATTCAATCATTCTATCAGCCAACACCATGGAAAGCCAGTAGGGTGGACACTTGGCAAAAATTTGGCCAGACTGAGGAAGATGGGGCAGGGGAGAGGGTTTGGTTGGAGTTGGGTTGGGTTGTTGTTGTTGTTGTTGTTGTTGTTCTGCCTCAAGGTGCAAGTCGATTATTTTTACAGGTTGAAAATCTTAATAAAAAAAAATACAAAACCTGAAAAAAAAAATTCAATGAAAAAACACTCAGAGAGATGTCCTCAACCCTTGGGCCTCAGCATGGTTAAAAATATGCGTGAAATCACCATTGTGACGGTGACTGTTTCATTCATCTCCACCAAATTTCTGTGTTCCTTTTTGGATTATTTTCTACAAAGTGCAAGGATTTATATGCAAATTTGAGTTCTATTTTGGCTTTGTAATTTTTTTGTTATAAGTTTAGTAATAATTGGGTTTTATGTTCATGCTTTGCAGTTAGTATTTCTAATGTCTGGTTATGAATTGAAATTTCTTTTTATAGTGGGTTTATAAAAATATGGCTCCTGGTTCATTTTTCTTTAGGATTAAAGAATCGACGCTAGAAATGTTTTTGTCTAGAATCTTGGCATTGTGGACAAATTCAGCTCTACATATCCTTGAATCAAGTTCCCCAACCCTGAAGGACAGTCTGAATGGAAATTCAGGCATTGTAAAGAGACTTTTGGAATATATCTATACGCACTGGGAACACCCACTGGATGCACTCAGACACCAGACCAAAATCATATTCAGAAATCTTCTCCAAATGCACCAGCTCACTGTGGAACGGGCAGATGTGGTCCCTGATCCTTTCTTTTTAGAATTGACTAAGACCCTTCTGCACTTGGAATGGCATATTAAAGGGAAGTACACAAGCCTCGGCTGTTTGGTAGAATGCCTAGGAATCGAACATGTTTTGGCAATAGATAATACTGTTCCATCTCAAATCTTAGAGGTGATGGGGGACCAGTCATTGGTACCTTACGCAAGTGACCTCCTGGAAACCATGTTTAAAAATCATAAGAATCACTTAAAATCCCACACTGTTGACAGCACTTGGATTGACCAGTGGCATGAGACCTGGGTTTCTCCTCTCCTTTATATATTGTGTGAAGGAAACTTGGATCAAAAATCTTATGTGATTGATTATTATTTGCCAAAATTACTGAATTACAGCCCTGAAAGCTTAAGGTACATGGTAAAGATTCTTCAGACTTCTATTGATGCTAAGACTGGTAAGAAAAATTAATTTTTATTTTAGTAATTTCTAGTTATGCTTAAATGTAGGCACCTAGGCAGATAATAATTATATTCAAATTTAAATATTACCACTTCTATAAGGGATAAAAGACATTAATGATGGCTATTTCTGTTTTGGCTTTCTTTTTGAGACAGGTCTCACTGTGTGGTTCAGGCTAGTCTTGAACTCACTTTGTAGCCCAGGTTATCCTCCTTCCTCAGCCTTCCAAGTGCTGGGATTATAGGATTATGCTAGCACACCCTACCATATAGAAACAAATGTTCCTGTGCATATTTCTATAAAATTTTTTGGCTAAAATCATTTTTGTAATTCAAGGAGTGATTCTAGTTAGTAAAATCAGATAACCATTATTCAAAGGTTATGATTCATTTTGCGTTCTTTTTTTTGGCAGGGGGCAGAACCGGGGATTGAACGCAGGCTCTTGCGCTTGTCAGGCAAGCGCTTATGCTACTGAGCTGTATGCCTGGCCCCAAAGGATTTTTTTTTTTTTTTTTTTTTTTTTTGTGGCTCAGGCTGCCTGAAGGGCAGGCCTGGTAAGGCAGGTGGAGCTGGGGATTGAACCTGGTATCCTGTACCTGACTGCGTTTGCATGAGCAGGTGAAAACACCTGAGCTCACCAGCAGGCCCCCTGTTTTTACCAGTTCTTTGTTGCAGTAAAAGTGTGTGCACTTTGCACAATTTACTTATTTGAGTGAGTGATTGAGTCAGTAATGAAAATTGTACTAGAGATGGAATTCAGGATTTTGCACTTGCCAGGCAGGTAGTTGAGCAGCTGAGCTATCTCACTGGCCCTAGGCAAATTTAAAGACCAGTACATTGGCAGTAGCAATTTTTATCTCTGGAGAAAAGATAAAGCCTGAAGAAAGTTATCCGTAGTTAGAATAGGGGTAAACGTTTCATTAAAACTCAGTAATCCTGAAGGAATCAGTGCATGAAAGCATAACTCAGTAGATTCTTACCCATTAAATAAATCTTCAAGTTATATTTTTTAATAGTGCAGGGATGTGGTATCCTTTACCAGTTTAAGAAATATTTTCAACCTAAATGACTAAAAATCTTTAGTATAGCAGCAAGTAATTTAAAGAAAATAAAAAGTAAAACAATAATAAATATATAGAATTTCAAAACAAGTTAGGATATTAATAATGGTTGTTATATTGCATATTGTTATTTTCTAAGTAGTTCAGATTAGCAGATACAGGCATGCAAAATTGATCAAACAATTAAGCATTAACTGTTCCTTTCATTAAATTAATAGAAACCAGTTGTACAATTATTGAAGCTCACTTGTGTATGAAAAGTTACTTCTTTTTGAGATGGAATCTTGCTGTGTTGCTCAGGCTGCCTTGAGCTGCTGGGCCCAAGTGATCCTGCCTCAGCTGTATCAGTAAACGGGACTGCAGATGTGAGCCACTGTGTCTAGCTTCCATTGTTTGTAACTTTAAACAGCAATTGGTTTTGCCTTTTTGAGAAGCTATCTAAAATTTAGGATTCTAAAGGAAAACCGGAACTGTCTCTCTTATCAAGGTGTGCTGTGAGCCAGAGCCATCTGCCTCTTTTTTTTGAAATTGAACTCAGGACCTTGCACTTGCCAGGCCAGTGCTATGCCGCTGAGCTACATCCCCAGCCCTCTTCCTACCTATCAGTAATGGCTGGTATCCTACCCTGGCAACCAGCAGTTTTCTGTGGCCCTGTTTTATCTTTTCTACTAGTGAGGATAGTAGCACCAAAATATAGAGAGGATCAGTGTTTATTTTTAGAGAAAGAATGGTCTTTAGTCAGGAAAGTGTTTTTCTTCTGCTTGCCAGAAAGTCATTTTAATTTTGGTATTCTTAGTTTTAATATTTCACTTGATTTTTTCCCCCAATTAACTTCTTGGTTCACTCCAAGTATTAAGGAAAAAGTAAAAATTACTAGCAAGTAAGTGCTGAGTTTTTTATGTTAATGCTATGAGAATTGTTTACTTAAAGTTGATACAAAATAATTTTAAATAAATACTTTCGGATGGAAATTTTAGTTCATGTTAGATAAAGCTTAAATTTTTTTTCTTAAAATCTAATGTTAGTTGGAAACATGAACATGTGTACTAAAATTTATAAAATTGTATAACACAATAATGGTTTTTGTATTTGTGCTTTTGACAAGAGCAGTCTTCTCCATCCTCAGGGTCCGGTAGTAGCAGAGGGGCTCTGGGAGCTTTGATGGCGTGTCTGCGAGCAGCCAGAGCTCATGGACATCTTCAGTCTGCACCTGATGCCTGGGAAAACCTCGTGTCCAGTGCGAGGATAAAGCAAGGCCTAACTCATCAGCACTGCCAAGTAAGGGATACCATAGCTGGGGATTTGTACCTCACAGCAAGTCCATAATTTGTTCATTCATTTAATGGTTCAGAATCGAGGTCCCTGCTTGTGCCTATTGCTGTTTGGGGATAAGTTCTTAAGGAGACCAAACAGGAAGTGAAAAGGTTCATTCTTATACTGAGGCTTTGTAGTATTTATTGAGAGAATGAGGAAACTTGCATGCATCCCCTGAGAACTCCGAGGGGAGCACACAGGTGGCAAAGTGCTGTTATGCGTAAGGCCTTCTTGGGGAGGCTTAGAAGAAGCTGATCAGGGTGGTGGTGGTTGATTAGGAATGTGGAATGTTGGAGAAGGACACAGACGTATGAGAGCTGGGCAGTGACGAAGACGTTTGCTGGCAGGCGAGAAGGTCTGGGCCTATTTTATGTACTGCTTCAGTGTTAGGCTGATAACTTCTGCTTCCCAGTCATCAGTTCAACCAGAGTCACTGTATGTTCAGCAGGAAAGTAACATTAAGGCAACCCAGTGATGAGTTTTCAGGGTAGGAACAAAAGCTAAGCAGGAGACCAGTGAAAGTGCATGGCAGTCGTGTGAGAAGTGAGGGGCCGAGTGACCTGTTAGGAGGAAAAAGAGGAGAGGGAATGGAGCTGACTGAGCATTGCTGTGGAGTGTGACCTCAGACTGTTCATTTTTATAAAACCCTGGCTTATGCATTTAATAAAACTAACTTTAGCGGACAGACATTTGAGATTAGAAAACCTTTCTCAAGTGCACATTAAGCTAAAGCTTTCTTTTTCCCCTTTGGTAGTCTGCATAAATAGACATTTCAGTTGGTTTAGGCTCTAGGTATTTAATTGGCAAACAAACATTTTATTGCTTGATACATTTTAGGTACGGATAGATACATTAGGCTTGCTTTGTGAAAGCAGTCGAAGCACAGAAATTGTTTCCGCAGAAGAAATGCAGTGGATTCAGTTCTTCATCACGTACAATCTTAATAGCCAGTCTCCTGGAGTGCGGCAGCAGATCTGTTCTCTTCTCAAAAAGGTAGAATTTTGCATCAGAAAGTAATGGAAAAATGGTGAACTTTGCCCTCGAAATCGTTTTGAAAAAGAGCTCGGGTTTTGGGAGAGGGTGGAAATGGTCATGAATTGGGCAGTCACGTCTTGTCCTGGCCCTGTGTGACCTCCTCTATGATTTCATAAAGCTTGCAATTGGAGGTTACAATCCAGAGTGAAGAGTCCTTTCATTTTGGTTTAGCCAATCAACTTTGAGCTTTTTTTTTTTTGAAAGAAAATAATCTAGCACTGGGAGTGAAAGGTAGTTTTAAGAAAACTTTGATGGTAGGAGGAAAGATGTTCTTGTATTTTTATAGGTTTTCTTTAAGCACTTTATAAAATGGTCACTTTTGAATAATTCATCTTGAATTAGTCAAAACTCATTTCTGAGGTGAATACTTGGTACAGAAATGAGTATGTCATCTTTAGGTTCAAACCCTTTTAAAGGAAATGGGATAACTGCTGTAATGACTGTATTCTAGTTGCAGTAATACTTGTTCATTTTAAAAATATTAATGTCAATTTTCTGCCAGAAAATTAACATAATAGATTTTAAGAGTTTAGGAGCCAGTTTCTTCTTGTATTGAAATTTCCCTTTCATGGTGTCATTTCACTGTAATGTGTGGCTTACTTGTGCTTTGTTTTTGTCTTAAAAGTTGTTTTGTAGGATACAGGATAGTTCTCAGGTACTTTATAAGTTGGAGCAAGGTAAATCCAGACATGAACCTGAGAATGGCTCAACCAAAGGGCAACCTTCTGTTTCTTTACAGCAATATAAGGTAGGAGCAAAAGCACTAACGTACAGAGCCTTATCAAATCTAAAACAATTATAGATATGCATATGAATATACATAAGAGGGAAATAGATGGAAGTCTCTTGGTGAAGCATGTTTCTCTACTGTTTATCTTCAAGCTGGGGGTTACATAAACTTCCCGGGGATTTTGTATTCCATGCTTGGGGACTCTTACAGAATGACATTATTGGGCTGGCCTTCATAATTTACAGCTCGTGTGGGCCATGTGCATTTAGTACTTTTAAGAAACAGGCAGGTTACTGCTGTGGCTGGACCTGCTTCCCCTTTAGACTCACATGATTTACAATGACTTGATGTTCGTGACCCCTGGTCCTCAGTTCACCTATGAAGGGGGTTTGTGTCTGTCCCTTTAATGTGACCCTTTTAGAGTTGGGCTGGGTTCATTTTTGGTTTTTGGTGGAATTGGGGATCGAACTTAGGCCCTTGTGCTTGCCAGAGAAGCACTTATTCCACTGAGCCATCTCCCCGGCCCTTGGGCTGGGCTCTAAGGCATTGTATTAATGGGGTAGATGGAGCCCCAGATACAGTGGCTCACTTCTGGACCAGAACATGGCTTGACAGTCTTCTTTTCAGAAGAACAAATGACCTTTTCATTGGTTTCTTATTCCACATTGTAGCCTCTCAGAAGCAGAACATTATTTTCTTCTGTGACCCAGGTAGAAGAATGCTCATCTCTTTTAGTTTATTCAGGAGAACAGATGTAATAAAGTAGTGAGGCTGGGCGTGGTGGTATATGCCTGTAATCCCAGCAGCTGAGGCAGCTGAGGCAAGAGGATTGCTTTGAGTTTGAGACAAGGCTGGGTTACAAAGTGAGTTTGAGGCCAGCTTGAACTGCACAGTGAGACCCTGTCTCAAAAAGATTAAATAAATAAATAAATAAATAAATAAATAGAAACATTTAAACTATGACATACTCAGTACTTACTCTAAATGTTAGTATGGATGGTCTTGATTATTAGTTTTTGTATTTAAAAGGTGAAACACTTTTTTAGAGGGCAGTATTGGGCATTGAACTCAGGGCATTCACCAACCTATATCTCAATATCCCTTTTGTGGTTCTGAGACAGGGTCTTGTTAAGTTACTAAGTTGCTCAGCCTGAGCTCAAATTTCTCATCCCCCTGCGTCCACTTCCCAGAATGCTGGGATTGTAGGAATGCACTATTACACCAGGTAAAATGGCAGAACACTTTGTAAAGAAGACTGTTACTCATATTACAAAGGCTGAACTCAGTTTAAAATCCCCAACAATGAAGATTAGAAAGTCACAGCCTAAACTTTAATGACATAGGATTATTCTCAATTCTGCCACATAGCAGTTGGTTTACGTAGCCTCTTCCACTTAAGCAGGGTCCATGACTCCTCTCAAAGGTTGGTTGTGAGGGTGAAGTGAGAACGTACCTTGTAAACTTTTAAGTTGTTCCAGAAGCCTCTCTGGGAGCCATTGGAAGTGAGTAGAGCATGCATTACATTAAGCCTGTGCTGCTGTGTTCTTGTGACAGATCTTTGTTAACCTCCCTTAGATCAGTGCCAAATTTTTAAAAACATGTCTTGTTTCTTTTGCAAAGGAGGTACATTGATTTTTTTTTTTTACATTGATGTTTGTGAGGTCCTAATTACCTAGAAATAAACTGTTTTGTGGATTGAGTCTAAATTTTGATGTATGCAGGGTTTTTGGATGTTGTTTAGATTATGCTTATGGACGTGTATTTTTCAAACATGAGTCCTCTGAGATTGAATCTGAGTCAATCTTCTACTTATGATCTTTTCTGCCAACTGGTAGTTACTTGTTGCTTTTGGGGTTCGACTCTGGCGCTCTGTTGTGGTGATCCTCTTGGTAGTGGGGGCCTTGTACTCTGGTCGGCCCAGTGCCAGCCAGCAGGCTAAGTGCTGGGGAAGATGAAGAGGCCAGCAGTCAAAAAAGGTATCTTCATCTGTAGCCAACACTAAATATATATATATATATATATATTTGGATACAGGGTCTCTCAGACTCATAGTGATCCTCCTGTCCAGCCTCCTCAGCACTAGGATTATAGACGTGCGCCCTCACACCTAGTCTCAGGCACAGCATGTGGCATCAGGGATCAAACTTGGGTCCTTACATTTGCCAGGCAGGTGCTTAGACTGCTGAGATATCTCCTCAGCCCCTGCATTAATAATTAGAGTAGGTTAAAATTTAAATTCACAAAATGTTTTATATTCACATTCTCATGTAGTCTTTTAATAGAAATGCTGTGGGGTAAGCATATCCCTACTTAATGTGAGAACATTGAAGCTTAGTAAGGTTTAATAACCTGGTCAAGATTCCTCAGCTTGGAAGTAGAGCTAGGACCCAAATCCAGATGTGTTCTTCTCTCCAAAATCTTAGAGTAGTTTTTTTATGGAAGCCTCATTGGGGGCTATTAGAAGTGACCAGAGCATATGTGGAACTCCTACTGCATGTACGGGGCACTGTTCTTCGTAGTAGGAGCCTAATGTATGCTTTTTTTTTTTTTGAATTTTTTTTAAAGACAGGGTCTCACTATGCAGTTCAGGCTGACCTCGAGCTCACTTTGTTGTCCAGACTGGTCTTGAACTCACAACAATTCTCCTATCTCATCCTCTGAGTGCTGGGATTATAAGCATGCGCCACCATGTCTAAATGTGATCTCTCTGTTATGGTTATAGCCGGATTTATAAAATGAAGAACTATGTCTCAAAATATAAATGATGACATAGGCTAATTCCTAAAGGATAAGTTTCTTGTGGTTTAATGTGAGTGGTACTTTACTTAAGACTAGTTTCAGACAGTTTTCGGTAAACATCCTGTTCCTTTAAAATCCAGTAGAATCAATAAACTAATAAACAAGATAAAGGGTAAAATATCCAAGATTACATGCCCAGCAACAAACTAAATAGAGCTACCTTATATTTTTGTTTTGTTTTTGAGACAGTCTCACTTTATAGCACAGGCTGGCCTTCTATGTACCCCAGGCTGGGCTTGAGTTCATTTTGATTCTTTTGCCTCTGCCTTCCAGTGCTCCTGGGCTCAGTTGGTCTTGCATTCTCTTTTTGGTGGGGGTGGGTACCGGGGATCAAACTCAGAACCTTGCGCTTGTCAGGCAGGCACTTATGCCTCTGAGCTATATCCCAACCCCTGGTCTTGCATTTTTGATTGTCCAGTGTCATCAGGAATTAGGGCAGAGTAGTAACAGGACATGGTTTTATGTTTGTCTTACACAGAAATTAATGACATTTAAAAAATCATTTATTTATGTATTTGGTACAGAGTCTCACTATGCAGCTTGGACTGACAGTGATCCTCCTGTTTCAGCCTCCCTATTGCAGGAATTACAGGCCTTCATGCGGTACTGAGGATCGAACCTGGGTCCTTGCGCCTGCCAGGCAGGTGCTTAGACTACTGAGCTATATCCCTGGCCCGATTTTTTTACATGAAAGGAAGATTTTATCCTGGAGAAAGTATTTCCTACCTTGTTTTTGTGTAATTGAATTTTATTAAAAGTTTTCATTTTCATTTGTATAAATAGAGTGATAGATCAGAAGTCTCAGAGGGGCAAGTAGAAGACAAAAGAATAGTTGGATCTTTGTATGAATTATGTCATAATCAAAATTATCAAATAGTCTATATCGGGTGTTTCTTTGTTCATTTTAAAATTCAGAAGTACTTATATCTTTGATGCCTGAATGCCTTTGGTTGGGAAAACCAGTATCATCAAGCTCTGGTATCTGATACAGATCAGAGGCAGACTAAAACTTATTTTCCTAAACAGTCTTTTTTTTTTTTTTTCCTTCTTGCTTAAGCTATAATAGAAATTACACTTGTTGCTAACTCTGCAAAGGGATTAGGGCAGGGTTCATTAAAGTTACTACATACTGTTTATGGTCCCTTAAAGGTCTTGTCTTCATTCTTTTGTGTTGTTATCACAAAAAACCTGAGGCTGGATATTTTAAAATAAAACAGGCTTATGGAGAAAGCTGGTTATAAAGTCCCAACAGCACTGCACAAAAATCTTGGTAAGGACACCTGGTTGTATCACAACATGGTATAAAAGTGGGTATAGGTGGAAGGAGCATGTAGGTGGGTGTAAAAGCAAGAGAGCATTCTAGAAGTGGAACTTGTGTTACAGTAACTCCCTCTTGTATGGATTTACTAATCTGCAAGACCTGACTCCCAGGAGACAGCATCAATTCCTCTGTCTCATGGGTGGAGCCCTGACCTGATCATCTTCTGTGATGCCCTGTGTCTGAAAGACCCACCGTCTCAACCCTGTGCATCAAGCTAAAAGCACGAGTACCCCCAGGACTCACCCCATAGCAGTGCCAGGATGAATTAGCACATGTAATAACCAGTATTGTTTAGAAGAATTTTAATTAAATCACAGTGGAAAAAAAAAAAAAACCTGCTCTTGAGAGTGATGCTCTGGGTGTAACCTGTTGTGCTATAAATTTTTTTTTAGAATTTCATGTCATCCATTTGCAACAGTCTTTTTGAGGCACTGTTTCCCGGATCTTCCTACTCCACTAGGTTTTCAGCTTTAACCATCTTAGGCTTCGTGGCGGAAGTTTTTCCTACAGTAGCAGGTAAGTTTTCATTCGTGTTTGGAGGAAACATTCTGTTTTTGTCTTGCAAATCACATACACATTCAATATTTTGCTTTATGTGAAGTTTTAATTTCATTGTCTTTTCTAAAATTTCTTATTATTGTCCTTATTTTACCTAGTTAAATTTGCAGGTAAAGGACCTAAGGGGGAGAAATTCTCTCTTTTCATTGATCATTATTTGCCAACTCAGAGCTACAATTTTCACAGATTACACTTAGATTTGGAAGAGTTCCTGCTCTTTATCTTCTTACTTTGATTGTCACTGTTTTAAGAAAGGGCTTAATTTGTTCTTTAAGTGTTAACAGGTAAAATATGAGAGACTATTAGTCTCTCATATTTAATATTCCTCAGCGAGTCTTTGAGGTTAAAATGCGGTTTCCCTTATATGCTGTCTGTTTCATAAGCTTCACTCTGGTTTCAGAAAGACATCACGAGGATGTCATTTCCAGGCATCTTGGCTTAATGATAACTCTGGTTTTCCTTCTGTGAGGTACTCGAAAGGACAGGCATTTAATTTCCCTCTTTGAATCATTTTTTCCCCCTTTTGGCAAGAAATGATTCTCTTTGTCTGCATACTTAGTATGGTTTTCTTGCTTGTGCCTCATTTTTCTTGACTGTAGTCAAGTAGGACTTATCTAGCCAAACCACTCTTTAATGAGAGGGCCAGGAGGACTAGAGAGTTTATAGAATAGCTGTATCCTTTTTCCTTTTATATTATTACTCAAATTAAAATTTTTTGATGAGGAAGGGAGAGTTAATTGCTATTAATACGTCCTTGTGCTTCATTTGAGGAAAATAATTTTTTTCAAATTTTTTGTTTGAGAAAATTCAATTTAACAGCAGAGTTTCAAGAATAGTTCATTGAATAGCCAAGTACATTCCACATAGATTTGTCATGTTAAGCTTTTGTTATACTTGTTTTATCTCTTTTTATTATTGATTTTATAACTGCCACACAAAGTCAAATTCAGAAAATTTAGTGTTGTATAGTGCTATTATCTATTATGTGATCCATATACAAATATTGGCACTTGTTCTAATAAATGATCTGTTATATGAAAAAGAAATTTGCCATAATCTGAAAATGGATTGTAGATCACATATTTCCTTTTGATGTTGTGCCTCTTTTTTTTTTTTTAACCTCCTTCTATCTGGGACTTTATTTCATTATATTAACATTTAGGAGGAATGTGTTTCAGTTGACAGCCAGTGTCCCTAGGCTGTCATACCTGGAGGTACGGGTTGCTGGCTTGTTCATTATTCACTACGATATACTTTTTTCCCCACTACTGGAGGTTGAACCTGTTGTCTGCACCCTGAGCTATTCATCTGCAGTGATAAATTGAAATCACCCTCTGTTAGGTGGGGGTTGTAGGCTTTCAGATGGCCTCTGAGAAGGCCATCTGAAAAAGACATCTGCAAAATCCTCAAAACCTATGAATGTGTACCTTATGTGGGAAAAGGGTCTTTACAGATACCGTCAAGTTAAAGATATCGAGAAGGGATAACCCTGATTATCTGGATGGGTCATAAAATGTCATCCAAAGTCTGTGTAAGAGAGAGGCAGAAACAGACTTGACACACAGAAGAAGGGGCATCGTGACAGCAGAGGTCTGCAGTGGAGTGGGACAGCTGCAATTTTTAGAATGCCAGCAGCCACCAGAGGCTGGAAGGAGCTTCTTTAGAATCCTAAGTTTAGACTTTAGAAACCTTAGATTGCTTAATTTTGGATTTCTGTCTTCCAGAACTGTGAGAGAATCAGGGTGTGTATATGTGTGTGTATGTGTCTTTTAAATTACCACATTTTTGATGATGTGTTACAGGGTTCACAGTGAGTGAATCTAGGGTAAATTTCAGCAGTACTATAGTTTAAGTTTTTAATCTGAGTGTGACAGATTACTTTATTCATTTAATAAAATATATTTTGCACTTTAAATGGACCGTACTTAAGTATATAGGGAAAAAACAATTAGGCTTAATTAGACTAGTCCTTTTCAGTCAGGAAAAGAATTTAATATATTGTAACACATATACATTGAAAGTGAAAAGCCTGAGTTGTCACATGTAATTGGGCTATGACTATGTCATAGTAATTATATTAATCAGTCAGCTGGCAGACAGTACAAAGATAGCCATACTATGCCCATTAATTTTATTTTATTTTATAGTTAACTTTATCGGTGTAATTTAAATATGAATAATGATCACATTTTCCATAGAGAATTTGTACTTCTACACAAAATATATATTAGCTCCTCTTTTCTTCTTCATTTCTCTCCCTTCAATCTTTCTTCCCCTTCTTATTTACAAAGTTTTATTTCCACTTTATCTTTTTTTTTTCCTCACTCCTCTATACTCATTAATTTTGAAGGCAGTTAGAGAGCATGAGATACAAGATGGAAAATTTATCCTTCGTTTTCATCAAAATAATTTTAATGTGAGGATTTATGTTCTTTTATAGAAGCAATGTGATACAGTTCTTTGCTTTTCCTAAAGTATATTCCAGAGGAAAAAAAGATGCATCTTTTATTTTTATTTTTTTTTATTTTTTTTTTTTTTTTTTCCGAACCGGGGATTGAACTCAGGCCCTTGTGCTTGCCAGGCAAGCGCTTCTGTTACTGAGCCATCTCCCCGGCCCAAGATGCATCTTTCTTGGGTAAAGTTTAATGTCACAGTATGCATAGTGAAAACTGGTTTCCACAATTAAAAGGGTTTGTTCAGCAAATATTAATGGAGCACTTATTGTATGTCAAGTAGCCATTGATAACATAATGTACAAAGCAAAACCTTCCTCTTAGGGGCTTACCTTTCAGTGAAGGCAAACAATACTGAATAAGTAACACATAAAACTTCCGACGCAGATAAGTTCTATGAAAACAAATATTTCAAGAAGAAAAGGGGAAGTTAAAAGTTCCTGGGAGGGAGGGAAGGGCGAGTTTGTCATACAGTGGTGTCAAAGAGGCTTCTTTTTAAAAGAAGAAATCACAAAGGAAGTTAGAAAATAAGATGAGTTAATGCAAAAACACAACATATCAAAATTTACAAGGTGTAATAAAAGCAATGCTTTATTTAAATTCTTACATTAAAACATAAAGGTCTCAAGTCAGTAACCTAACCTTATACTTCAAGAAATTATAAAAGATGAGCTAGCAGAAGGAAGGAAATACAAAGATTAGAACAAAGATAAATGGAATAGAGAATAGAAAAACAATACAGTGAATCAATGAAAGTAGAAATTTTTCTAAAAATGAAGAAAAATGATAAAGCTAGACTAAGAAAATGAAAGGTGGTGCAAATAACTACAATCAAAAGTAGAATCAATAGCACACTTACAAAATGAAAAAGATTATGACAACGACATGAACAACCATATGCCAACAGATTAGATAATCTACGTGATATGTGCAGGTTCCTGGAATGACTGCCTCAAGTTGAAACAGGAATTTTGAGCAGACTTTTAACACTCAGTAATCAGAAACCTCCTGACAACGAAAAATCCAGGATGAGTGGCTTCTCTGGTGAATTTTGCCAAGCATTTAAAGAATTAATACCAGTTCTACTTTTTCATAGCATTGATGAGGAGAGAACACTGAACTCACTCTGGGAGGCTGTTGTTACCTTGATATTAAACCTAGACAGAGATAATGTAAGAAAGGTATAGACGGATAGCCCTGACTAGTGTGGATCCAGAAATCCTCAACAAAATGCTAGGGAACGATATCTAACAGCACATTAAAAATACTGTACAATATGACCAAGTGAAATTTACGCCAGGAATGCAAACTTGGGTCAACATAAAAATGACAGGATGTATCACCATACTTATTCTCTGTCAGTTCATCTAAGAAATGGTAGGACTTTAGATTCTAGGTCAAGAAGTTTATAAAAATAGTGACTTTACATTTTTAAAAATATTTATTTCCTGTTCAGAAAATTGTCATGCCTTTTGTCATCTGAAGAAGTAACTTAATAAAAAATACTTTTATGCTAGCATGGATAAAGTATGAAGTATAAAGTATGAAGTCTTAGTGTAGGTAAAGTATAAAGTATGATTTTTGTATTTTCTGTAAGTTTAGGTAGTTGGAGAAAGATGATTTTCTTTTATAATTCATTTTATTCTTTTTTTGTTTTTGGCGGAACCAGGGATTGAACTCAGGCCCTTGAGCTTGCCAGGCAAGTGCTTATTCTATTGCGCCATCTCCCCGGCTCTCCAATTCTTTTTAAAATCTTATTTTCATTTTTTGTTTTAGGTGGAGTCCAAGCGGTCTATCAGCTGAGTCATGATGTTGATGCTGGTCGTTTCCAAACACTAATAGAATGTTTCACCAGCACTTTTGAAGAAGTGAAAACTTTAGCATTTGATCTGCTCATGAAATTATCAGTAACAGCTAAACAATTTCAGGTATTTGGACTTCTATGTAAATGTAATATACATATGAAAGCTTTGTATTTTAGCATACATAAATAGAGCTTCTGAGGATTATCCAGGCTCACTGCACCTGCCTTCTTGGGCTTTTTAACTATTTCTTTTGTTTAGTAATGCATCTGCACTGTTGCACTGTGGTGGGAAAGGAAGAAAGACTGTAAGAGCTCACATCAGTGAACTGTGCTTTTTTTTATTGCTTTGATAAAAAGGGAGGTGTAGGAGGGAGTAGGTCTCACTGTTTACCATATTATTAGTAGGTTTCAGTGAACTGTGGTCTCCCCAGTTCCTTTGGGCATGTAATATTTGATCAAAACACATCACTTACAGTAACTTTGAGTTTTTAGAGATAATCTTTCTGCTTATTAGACTGGGAACCTGAGGTAAATGAGTTAGAGAACATGTTTCTGGTCTTAGCATCAAGAGCAGCTAAATTGAGACTGAAACTCATGAATATATGAGGTTAACTCCAGTTGTCCTCCTCAAGGCTCTACCCAGCACCTCTCCTGGAACCTGCTCTCTTTCTGACATCTTGCTCTTTCCACTTTGGGGTAGGAGCCAAAGATGGGCTCAGGACTAAAGGTGTAGGATGCAAGGGAGGGGCCTGGGGATTTAGCTCAGTGGGGGAACGCTTGCCTAGCAAGCTAGGAGTCCTGGGTTTGGTCCTTAGCACCAAAAACAAAATATAAACTTCAACTAAAAAAACAGAAGTATGCAGGGGACCCTATAGAGAGACTTGCAGCCCTACCCTTGAGGCTTATTCTGGGACTCTGGGGTTAGCAGCAGAGTAGTGGCTCCAGAGCTCTCTCTTGCTTTTTGTGAGAACTCTGCAGAGGGGAAGGCTACCCACGGGGGTTGTGGCCTGGGTGCCAACTGTTTGCTGCCTGTATTTAGGGCCCAGCGGCCTGCAGGCATGGTGAGATTCTGTAGAACACACCAGAAAAGGAACACTGTTTTTGTGGCTTCTTTGGCATTGCAAGATCTCGGGATGTCTTTTTTGATTTGTACTCAGTTTGAGAGTTGCTCTCCAAGATCCACATACACCTGTGGTCTTCCTGGTGCCCTGTAGGGAGAAGGGTCTACAGATGTTCAGTGTACTAACTCCTGAACACTACAGAATTTGAAATAAACTTTCTTGTCCTCTATTAGCAACACCCACACCCTCCACTGTTTGTCATATATAGCCTTGTGTCACATATATAGCTGTGCCTCAACCCTAGCAAGTGTTTTAAGAGTATCTGGAATGGAAAAGGTGTATTACAACACATATATCAAAGACCTGGTTATTGCATAAACTATTGAAGATTCTTATGGGATCTCTATATCTCTGGTTTGATAATTTGCTTGATACAGAGATGGTAAACTAGAATACAGGAAATTTTTGTATCACATGGGGTATACTATAGGATTTTGGTTGTATAGTCTGTTCTGGCTTGTGTGTCAGTAAAATAATCAATGGAATAGACATACAAGATTTAAAAATAATAATTATTTATTTCTAAAATCTTTCTTTGGGTTTATCTTGTATATTATGTATTTAAAAATAAAATACACATTAAAGCATGCTTTGTATGCCTGATTACTATTAAGTATCTTATCTATAATACATGTTTTTGATAACATCTTTCTAATATATGACTTTACTACTCACTTAGCTTACTGCCTTTTTTTCCGACATATCCTAGGTCTTTATATTGTATTTTGATTGACCTAAGATGGTGGAACAAAATTCTTTTAGGCTGCCAGGTTTATTTATTATGTTTCTTACTAATTGTCTAGCCAATTCAAGAACTTATTGTCAGTTGCAAAAATGACTTAGTAGCTTAATTTATTCCTTCTAATATTTGTTTTGAATTTTGACCACTGATACTAAGTTTATGGGCCATAGAAAATTAACCATATCAAATGACAAAGAATGTAAATAGAAAGTAACTGATATTTAAATCAGTACATCTTATAACCTATGATTTTGAAATTATATCATTAGATATTAGTGTACATATATTCAACTTCAAAATTAAGTTTATAATTTTTTTTCTTATGGCAGACAGTTAACGGACCAACTCTAGTAAATAGCATATTATCGAGCAACCAAACCCTCATTTCCAGAGTGGTAGCACTAGCTTGTCAGCAGTTGAGTGGGGACTGGAAACCATGTCTGTGGTTGTCTGGCCAGTCCCTTCCCATGATGATGGCAGTGAACAGTGACCGTAAGCAGCCCTTTGTTCTGTCTATTAGGGCAGTCTTAGTTACTTTTCTTATTGGTGGGACAACATACCCAGCAGCTGAGGTTTAAGGAGGAAAGGTTTACTGCAGCTCAGTTTGTAGAGGTTTCAATCTAGTTGGCTGGCTCCAAGGCAGGGTGGTGTGGCAGAGGGTGGAACAGAAGAGAAACAGTCCATGGTATGACAGGCAGAGGGTGGTCGGCAGCAACCACAGCCCCCTGCCTTTTTTCTGCCCTTTTGTATTCTACCCAGGCTATAAGCCTATTTTTTGGTGTCACCTATACCCAGGGTGGGGCTTCCATTATCCACACCCTTAATTGTAGTATCACACCCTTAACCCACATCCACATACCCGAAATCCAGCCACTTCTTACAGGATTTGCTTGCTTGTTCGTTCATTCTTTTCTTTTTTTTTTTTTTTTTTTTAATTTTCACATTTTTTTGAATATACGATAATTGCTTTCATTTTATTTATTTTTTTACACGCACATAACATGTCTTGATTCTTTTTTTTTTTTCAAATTGGTAGGACAGTTTCAATAATTAACACATTGCATGCATTCTTCCTAGTGGTTAATTGCTGTGCAATGTTCATTCTTTTCTTTTCTTTCTTCTAGGGCTGGGGAGATGGCTCAGTGGATTAAGCGCTTCCCTGGCAAGTGCAAGGGCCTAAGTTCAATCTCCCATTCCACCAAGAAAAAGAAAAAATGAGTCTTCTTTCTTTCTTTCTTTTTTTCTCTCCTTTTTTCTTTTTTCTTTTTTTGGTATTGGGGATCAAACTCAGAACCTTGTGCTTGACAGGCAGGCAGTTATGCTACTGAGCTATCTTCCCAACCCCAGCCACTTCTGAAAAGCTTAATAGGACTGCATAAAACTTTGGAGTGGGGTAGGGGAGATCTAGATACAAACCATGGCAGCTGATATGAATGGATATTTGTATAACTAGGGGAGCTCAGATGCTGAACCGCAGAGGTGGCTCTGGTCGCTTTGTTGTCTACACATATAAATACACTTTCATCCTGCATAACCTTCCAATGGCTTTGTACTTCTCTCCATTGAACTAGTTCTGTGGGGAGGGAGAAGCTAATAGGAGGGCGGGAGTATGATGCCCAAGTAAAGCATATAGGAGAAAAAAATTACTCCATGTAGAGATAACAGAGTTGATCTGGGCCTTGGGATGTTGCTCAGTGGCCTAAGTGCCTGCCTGACAAGCACAAGGTCCTGAGTACCCTAGTACCCAAAAAAACACAAAAAACCAAAACCAAAAACAAAGTTGTTCTGGTTGTAAACATTACAGCTTTCTATAGGAAAAAGTGTGCTGTTGCTAAAGAAAGAGGCTCTGTATTTAAAAAACAGCTTTCTCCCTGTTGATTTGCCCAATTATTCTTATGGGCTTCATCTCTGAATTAATAGCAATCAATACTGAGATATAAAACTAAAGTCTGGGTGTGGTGATGTACACTTACAGGCACATCGCAGCCCTTTGGGAAGCTGTGGCAGGATAATCACAGGTTCACAATCGATGTGGACAGCACAGTGAAATCTTGTTTAAATAAATAATTTAGTACTAACCTTTATTGAGGGAGAAAAGAAACTAATATTCATGTTGAATTAGAGCTGCATGGCAGGCTATATTTTTAAGTATGTAGTACATTTGCAGGTTACAGAAATCTCACCATGACAGTTGCTGGGACTTTGTTCTCTTCTAGGATGCTGAGAAACTACAGGATTTATTCCAGGCAGCTCTGGAGCTCAGCACAAGCACAAAACCATACGACTGTGTGACAGCTTCCTACCTGCTGAACTTCTTAATCTGGCAGGACGCTGTGCCGTCGTCCTTGGCCGCCTACCTACCCCAGAGTGGCTCACACAGTGATGAAAACAAGCCTGCTTCTGTGGTAGAAAGGAACACATTAATGGGTTTGTATTGAGGAAGTGTCCTTTTGCTCCTAGCCAAAACCAGTCTCCTATTCTCTCGCTATTTGTTTGGTATCTAATAGTTAATCATTTATCTAAGAGTTTACAAGCATAAAAGCATCATGAGTTCTTTTGTACCCGTGAAGTTTACTCAGCAGTGACACGTGCTTCTATTTATTTATTTATTTATTTATTTATTTATTTATTTTAGTATAGGGTCTGCAGGGTCTCACTACACAGATTGGACTCATAGTGATCCTCCTGTTTTCAGCCTCCCAAGTGCTGAGATTACAGGCACGCACCACCATGCTCAGTCTCAATCACTGTCTCAGCGCACCCAAGGAGCAGATTTGGCATGGCCGACTGGGGATCGAACCCTGGCCCCTGTGTCTGCCTAAGCAGGTGCTTTAATCCACTGAGCTATCTGGCCAGCCCCGACACTAGCTACTAAATAAAGGATTCATGTTAAATAAGTCAATACACAAATACACATTAATAAGACTTTTAATTTTAAAAGAGGACAACCCTTTTCTCCATCAAAAGGAACTTTTTTTCTTTCAGAAATTGTACTATACCTATAGATAAATCATCTTTGTTATTTTTATGAAGAGCAGAGTTCATTTGATTGTTAGAATTTATGTCTTAATTGACTGATCACTCCTTTTCTTTTTACCCTGCGATATTGCCAGTTCCCAAGCCTAGGGCCTACAATGTTTTAGCTAGTGATTTTCTGTAAATATTTGTTGGAGAGGTATGTGCTTTTATGCTAATAAATTTTCATTTGGAATTGTACGGAATGTCAGGAGAGATGCGGATTTTTATAGTAAAAGAAGGATCAGATAAAGAGAGTTGAAAATCGTTCTTTCTAATGTGATATAAAAAGCCTTGACAGAATCAGTAATTGGAGAAAAATTTAAGGCTATATGTAGTTCTGGTGGGAGTGTGCTTGTGGATCTGGGGATTCAGAGATGTCAGTGGCATAGAAGATAACAGTTGGCCACTTGAACTGCTTTAGGCCCAGGGTCAAAAGGAGACCATAGAAGACAACAGGAAGAAGACTGCGACTGGCATGAATTGGGACATGCATATTATAACTATGAAATATTTCACACATATGAAGAATACTTCAATATGGTTAAATAAGCTAGGTGATAAACTCAGCTGAAGAGGTAGGAGAAAGACTGGTGGTAGGGTATGTACTTTGTACGCACAAAGCCCTGGGTTCCATCCCCAGCATTGCAAAAAAAAAGATAACCAGATGTAGTGGTGTGTGTCTCCTGTTTGGGAGACTGAGGCAGGTTTGTGTGAGCTTAGGAGTTCAGGGCTAGTCTAAAGCTGCATGGTGGCACCCTGCCTCTAGAAAACAAGTGCCCCTACCTTTGAATCCTTTATTTTTCCCTGTGCTTTGCATTAACTTTTTATCTTGTTTTTCTTTATGGTTTTACCCCCTACATATGGGATTAAGCAATGTATTTTTTTGTTTTACATAGTTTTGAATTTTATTTAAATAGTACTATATAGAATATGCCAGTTTATTAATCTATTCTTTTGATAGGCTTGAATTTTTCCTAAGTAAGAATGTGAATGTGAGCATTGCTCTGCAGATCTGCTGATAATGTTGTCCAAAGAGTTGTTGGTGAACAAAGAAGAGTTTTTGGTGGTCAAAGCGTGCCTGTCTTTAGTTTTTTTTTTCCCGGTGGAACTGGGGATTGAACTCAGGCCTTTGCACTTGCCAGGCAAGCGCTTACTCTACTGAGCTATGTCCTTGGCCCGTTGTCTTTAGTTTTACGAACTGATACTAAACAGGTTTTCACAGTACACTGCCACCAACAAATTATGGATTGTGCTTATTAGACATTATCACCATAGTTTTCTATCACCAAAGTTTAAAAATTTGCAGTATACAAAGTGATAGTGCGATTTCAATTTTTAATTTTTCTGATTACTGTAGGGTCTTTTTCTTTTATCTTTTTTGGCTGACTCAGCCTTCCCTGGGGGCGGGGCTGACACAGCATGTGGTGCTGGGGATTGAACCACAGTACCTGCGCTTGCCTAAACTTGCCTGAGCAGGCACTTTAGTCCACTGAGCTATCTTTCCAGACTGATTCCTATAGTTAGTTCATATTTTCTCTGGGATGAAGTGCATGCTAACGTCCTTTGTTTAGTTTTCTGTGGAATTGTTTGTTTTTTCCTGTTAAGTTTTATGTACCCTGCATATTAATAATTTAGTAATTATACACAGTTCTAAAATTTAAAGTACAGCCCTTCAGAGGGACGAGGAGAAGCATTTTCTCATTCTGGCTAACTGGATATCCCAATGCTAAAGAGTCAAATTGGACCTGCTACTTCATATCACAGATAAAAATTTGCCCCAGTGGACTACAGACCTAAATATAAAGGCCAGTTCTATAAAACTCTTAGAGGAAAGTATGGCTCTGTGTCTTCATGACCTTGGGGTAAGCGCTACTGTATTTTCTTAGGTATGACTCCCAAGCACAAACAGCAAAACAAAATTATAAATCAAACTGCATGAAAATGTACAGCTTTTGTTCAATAAAAGGTGCCATCAAGAAAGTAAAAAGAGAATCTATAGAATGGCACACTTACAAAAGGAACTTTTACAACTCACTAATAGAAACAAATGACCATTTAAAAAATGGAGAAAGACTGCATAGATGTTTCTTTAGAGGATACACAAAGTAGACCCATGAAAAGATGCTCAGTATTGCTAGTCCTCAGGGAGGTGCAAATCAAAACCATGTTCATACTGAGGAAACGCTTCATTCCCAGCAGAAAGGCTGCAATTAAAAAGAAAAAAAGTAAAAGTAACAGAAAATGTTGATAAAAATGTGGAAAAGTGGAACCTTCAAACACTAGAGGTGGGAACACATTCATTCCCTAACAGGTATATACCCAGAGAAAAGAAAGCATATGCCCAAAACCAGGAAGTTTATGGCAGTGTTATTCAGATTGGCCAAAACCCAGAAATTACATCCATCAGTAGATAGATGAATGAATAAAAGTGTGTGTCCATTCAGTTGGTGGTCACTGAGCTGTGGAACGAATCAGCTATTGATAGCTGCTGCAACAGTGATGAACTTTGAAAATACAGTGGTACCTTGGCTCATGAGTACTTTCATTTGTAAAACACGGAAGTGTCGCAAAATTTTGTTTTTGTTTTTGGGGTGATGAAGATGACTGTGACCATCTTTCCCACACAAACATAAATGTGCCCATGTTTTCAAGAATCATAGAACAAACTTGTGACTTGAGGCACTACTGTATTATGCTAAATGAAAGTATCCAATCACAAAAGACCTTGTCTTAATTTATTTACAATGTGCAATCTTAAAAAAAAATAATAAAGGTTGTTAAGAGAAAAAACAAACCCCAAAAAACAAAAGACCTTGTACTGTATAATTCCATTTATATGGCATGTCCAGAATGAGCAAATTCCTAGAGACAGAAATCTGATTAGTGGTTTCCTAGGGTGGGGAGTGACTTGTAATGGGTAATTTTATTTTATGGGGACAGTATTCTAAAACTGATGGTTGCACGTGTCTCTGAATGTACTAAAAACTATTGACTTGTACCTTTATTGTTTTGTGTTATGAAACAAACAGATTTTCCAAAAAAAAATAAGAGAATAACAATAGTGATTACAATGTACCGTTATCTTCATTGTATACTTTAAATGTATGAATTGTATGGTGAGTTATTTAGTTGTTACTAAAAGGCATCTTCTGGCCAAATATCACATCACACAGGTCTAAAGTTTGATGCCACAGCCAGAGATGTGCAGGAAGACTGGGTCAAATTGAATGCTATAGTGGATCCAGGTAGTTAAGGGAAGACACTCAATTCTTTAACTGTTATCTTTAAAATGAGTTCATGGGCTGAGTGATCTTGAAAACTTTTTCTGATTCACAGCATTTTAGAACACATTGGAGTTGTTTTTATTGAAATTTTGCTCCCTACAAGTTTATAAATGGATTTTACAACTGGCAGTGTTTTGGTTTTCTGTTTTATTTTATTTTATTTTTTTTCTAGTTATCAAGTGCTTGATAGAAAATCTTGAGGAAGATATGTCTCAGGCCGAAAACTCTCTGCTTCAGGCAGCAGCATCCTTCCCAATGTACGGGCGTGTGCACTGTGTGACAGGAGCTCTGCAGAAGTTACCGCTAGAGTAAGAGCACCCCTGCTATCTCTGGTTTCAGATGCATACTTATGTCTGAACTTTAATCTCCTACAGGAATCTGTCCTGGAAAAGGATGTTGTCTTGCCTTAAAGAGAATTGAAAATCAGATTAAAAATCTACTTATATATTTATTTGTATGTCTCAAATATTCCATATTTTGCATCATTTTAAAATAAAATCTTTCAAGTCCCCCTTGCTTGTAGTATAAGCATCCCTAATGTCCCTCTTGTAGCAGCCTGCAGCTAGTGAGTGAGTGGACACCTGTGGTGGAGAAGCTCCTGTTGATGTCCTACCGGATCTCCGCTGTGGTGGCTCCAGTCATTCAGAGCTCCTCCCCCGAGGGCCTCATCCCCATGGACACCGACTCAGGTCAGCAGACAAGCCTGTGGTGCTGTTGTTCAATTTTCTGTCTCTCATTTCTTTGGAGAGAGATAAAGCTAAATTGAGGGAAAAAAGGAATTACATTTTGTGATATTTTTGCCCTTTTGGTAATATTTTTAACTATTTAAAAAATAGCCAGTTCAGTTGATTATTATCTTTTTATCTAAGAATAAAGTTTTCATTGTTCATTTCCAAAAAAAAATGGCTAAAAAATGGACCTGAGAACCAAGTGATGAGCAGGGTTCTCATTCCCCAGAGTAAACTGGGTTTTATAATAGTAGTATTTCTGAACATAGCTGAGCAGGAGGCTGCTGCAGCTTTGAGGGTAGGCAGTGCGGATTAGCAAGGTGGAGCACTAATGGAACTCCCTAGGAGCCTGCAGTGGACCAAGGCCATCTGAAGGGCGGAAACTTTAATGAAGGAAAGTAAAATGAGAAGAGGTCCTTCACTTGTCCCAAGGAGCTGCTGGACTTTTGTCTGCCTTTCCCCTCTTACCTGTCTCTGCACGTGTTCTTACTAAGGATCTTTGATGCACTGTCATCTCTCCTTCAGAGTCAGCAAGCCGCCTACAGGTGATTCTCAATGAGATTCAGCCACGAGATACTAATGATTATTTCAACCAAGCCAAAATACTGAAAGAATGTGATAGCTTTGATTTGGAGGATTTGAATGTCAGCGTGTCAGATATTGATCCTTTTGCAGATATAAAAGGTAACATGTATAGAATTAGTACCCTAATCATTTTTTCCAGTGATGGGCTAGAATCCATAGCCTTGCACATGCTAGGCAGCACTGTACTGCTGAACTACACCCCAGTCTCAGTGTTTAAGTGACATAATACGACCTTTCACATAATGAACTAGAGGCTGCAGATCTGTGCAGAGCATTTCTAGAAAAGAAAGCTTTTTATTTTTATATACTCGTTTTGAGAATGATTTGGTTTTAGGAGTGAATTTATAATAAGGCTTTAGTCAGAAGATGATAAGCCCCTGTTCACCATATAAGGTGCTACAACAAAAAACCTTTGAGTGCCAAACATGCCTTGGTGGCCATGATGCAGTCCGTCCTCTTGCTGTGCTGTGGCGCATTGTCAGCCTTTGTGGTCACTATTAAAGTCAAGCAGCAGTTTCAAGGAAGCAAATCTTGTCACTCTGCAAATGATGAGCTGCTTTGTTGTACCCAGTCTCTAGAATTTGTCTCCTTGCTCTGTGGTTGCTGGAGGCTGTTGTTTAGGTACAGCACTCCAGTGGGTACAGTGGGCCATAGCAACCTTGTGATTTATGCATGGCATCTGTGTTTCCTCAGCAGCTGCCATAGCCTGGTCACTGATACATGGGAAAAAAATAAAAATAAAAAAAATAGAATTTGTATAATTAACCTCATCTATCTTATTCTTAAGTTTCCTGCAGTATTGTAAAAAGTATAATCAAAACCAGGAATTTTTAGTAGTTACACATTCTGTGTTCTCCACTAGATGGGGATATTGTCCTGCAAAAACTTATCTTTGCATGCTTTTTTTTTTTTTTTTTGTGGTGCAGGGTCTCACTACACAGCTTGGACTCGTAGTGATTCTCCTGTATTCTGCCTCCCCAGTGCTGGGATTACAGGCATGTGCCATCATACCCAGACTCAGTTCCCAGCTCAGTGCCCCCAGGGGTGGAGATGGCACAGCATGTGGTGCTAGGGATCAGACTCCAGCCCCTGTGCTTGCCTAAGTAGGTGCTTTAGCCCACTGAGCTATCTCACTGGCCCTGAGAAATACATTTTGTATAGTTATCCATGTAATACTTTATGAGTGCCAGAGGCATAATTTTTTTTATTAAATGTTGAAGCAATATTAGCCTTTTATTTTTTAATTTATTTTGAAAATAATAAATGGAAAACACTTAGCATGATTCCTCCTAAAAAAACAAAACAAAACAAAAACATGATTCCTCCTAATAGCACATGCTTGACAAATGTTAGCTTTTTTTTCTTCCTGAACAAGCAACATATGACAGATTGGTTTGTTCAGGCAGATTGTTCTTAAGGAAATTCTGAATTCACTAGTTCTAAGAAACCTGGGATATGAGTAATGAAGAGTGTTCAATTTTTTTTTTTTTTTTTTAAGGTAAAGAAAAAAAAACATGTGATGTCACGGCGCAGATGGTGCTGGTATGCTGCTGGAGAAGCATGAAGGAGGTGGCTTTACTCCTGGGCACCCTGTGCCAGCTTCTGCCCATGCAGTCCACGCCAGAATCTTCTGATGGATTACTGACAGTGGCACAGGTAATACAGATGTGTATTCCATTGGTATAACTTCTGGTCAAGGCATGCATGCCAAATTTTTATTTATAGCCCTGCTTTTAAAACGTTGTGAATTTTTGTTGAGTAAAAGCCTATAGATGTCAACTGAATAACATTCATGATGGTTTAGGATATTGGATCTTGCAGAGCATTTCACAACTGGCATTTTAAGAAATATTTTTCTGTAAATAACTAGACTTTACCTCATTTTCATTAGTTTCTATTTCTTTATTTACCATACATGCACTTAAATTTTAGTTAAAATTATTTAGGAAAACTAACAAATTTCTTAAGCTTTATAAAAGAATAAAAAATAACATTGTTTGATTATGGATCTCATGTTTCCCCACTACTTTGACAATAAAGCTGTGGTCACTTTGGTCTTTTTGGCTGACTTTTATTTGAAGACCACAAAGGTAGTTCACCATCTGGGACTGTTCAGGAGACTCAAGTACAGTGTTTACAAGCAATTAGCTCACCACAAGTATTTCATTTGGAAATATTTTAGATTTATTAGATTTCTGTTTTTAATTGATTCCCTCTTTCTTTCCATATGGTTTCAACAAATCCATTTCCCACAGTTTTTTAGCAAAGATGTATAACATGTAATTTTATTTTTAACCCTTTTCAAATAAAGATAATGTTCCCCCCAGGATGTAACAGCATTCAGGAATAAAACAAATATCGTAGTATGCTAATGCTGACTATTCCTGTAATAACCACGTAACGAGCTTCATGGAAATAATAATATTTTTATTTTCGCACCCTGTAGCTTATGTGCTTGCATCTGGTTAACAGCTGGGCTTGCGCTGTTGCAAGGCTGGGAAAGGAGAAGGGCAATGGTGAACAGTACGTTGTGGACATGTTGTGTTCCTTATTCCCTTCCAAGTCGAGTAGGCATTAGTGTCCTCAAGTAGGAGTCTTTACTGGTGACTGACTGTAGCGCCAGTGCCAACATCTTTGCTCAGGAATCCGGTCGCGATTAGTGATTAGTCCCCTGATGTGCACCATCTTGCCCCGAACTAAGCATGTGCTGGAGTTCCTGGCCTTCTCAGGTTTTTTTTCCCAAGGACAAGTTTAAAATATCTAGTTTTGGGTTTGTTTCATTATACTTTAAAAAATGAAAGAAAGCGTGTTTTTCTTTTACTGTAATTGAGAAAGACCTCAAAGCTGCTTATGAAAACTATTTTGCTGACAGCTTTCACATAGTATCTAAGGTTTATGGTTTTATGAATTTAATTTATGTGGGGTAACCTGAAGAGATGTTTATAAAAAAGCAATAATAGCAGTAACAAAAGATGGTTTTACTTAGTTTAAACTAATTCTTCCAGTGACTGCTTGCATAATTATAAAACAAACTGTATTTTTGTGAAGTCTTAGTTTGTATTCTAATGAGTTATAGACATTTTTCAGTACTGTTCACATGGTAACCTCACACACGTAGGTGTGAAAAGAAACTAACGACTGAATGAAGGATCAAAATATGTGATAGCTGTTCTAACATTGAAACCCTGCTCTCTGTGGGAAGCTTTACTCTTGATTATAGCTGATTTAAAGAAATACCTCAATGTAGGAACATTTAGTCCGTGAAAATCGAAAGCCATGAAGAAAGAGCTCAGTGTTACTTACATTATTACAGGATTTCTGCTTTAAACATAAAGCTTTGCTTCTTTGAATTAAAAATACTTCCACTCTCATGTCTTTAATACCTTTAAGAGTTAAATGTATAGACCTAGAAAAATGTAATTTACATTGTAATGGCTGGGCCACTTCTAAGTATACCCTCCCCTCCCGGACACAGTTGCCCTGGCAAAGCTAGGTGTGCTATGGCTGGTGGTGAAAGGACTGATGTGAGATTCGTGAGCATGACCACAGTAGACCTCGAGGCACTGAGGCAACTGAATTGTACCCTAGTTATTGTGGAAAATGTGAAAGTTGGACTTCATATTCCACACAGTAATGGCTATGAACCACTTTTGTATTAATGGAGCTAGGCAGTTCTTCATGTAGCCTAAAATACTGCTTTTGAGCCTCATTCTTTTCTGTATTCACCCTGCACATTTGTAAAAGCAATAAAATTCTGTTATAACTTATAATTTGATACCTTGACAGGGAAGTTTTGTTTTTGTAGCTTAGCAGTATCCTGGTTTTATGGACCTTTGTTGAACGAGTGGCCACTTAAGTCCTTTATACATGAGTATATTTTGTAACAAGCTGATAAGAAGTGAGATTACAATTTGGGAAATTTTGTTACTATGTGGAGACAAGAATGACTGATTTGAGCACTGTCCTTCCAAAGTGTTAAGAGCTGGAAAGGTGGTAGAGATGATATTCTCCAGCTACCTTGCCAAGAAAGAACTGAAGCCCCTGCTGTTGCTTGGTTGTGACAGCTCTGGAACAGGAACCTAGTTCCCTTCCTGGCTAGCCTGTGTCCACATGGCAAAGTGCTGCCTTTGTTCTGAGCTAATAAGATTTTTTTTTGCTAATATGATTTTTCTTTAAGATGAATTTTCTCAGGGCTGGGGAGATAGCTCAGTAGAATAAGTGCTTGCCTGGCAAGCACAAGAGCCTGAGTTCATTCTCTGGTTCCCCCCCGCCAAAAAAAAAAGGTGAATTTCTCTATTTCCAATGCCCAAGCAAAGTTTTGCAAGCAAACAAGACAGTAAGACAATTTGCTATTGAACCTTTAAATAAATGAGCCTTTCCTTAGATCACTTCTTGTGAAGCAAATTGTTCTCATCAGCTTCTGCAAGAGGAAAATATGTTCATTCCATGGTTTGTCAAACTTTTCTCCTGCACTGTAATCACATAATGAAAGGTTCTTTCATAATGTTCCTATGAAGAGTCAGAGATAAAACCAGCTTTGAGGGATGTAAGTGGACACTCTTCGTGAGTGAGCGAGCGAGCTGAGCATACACCCTTATCTCACAGCTTCCTGCCTAGTTGCTGTGTCTGGGTTTCAAGCTTCATATTTTGCTGAAACAGACATTTCCTAGATACATTTTGATGTTCCTCTTTCCCTGGGAACCTGATACCCAATGCCTGCTGATTTTTTTTTTTAAACAAATTTTTCTAACTGGAGCACCAGTTTATGCTTATGTATCTCCTCTGTTATTCCTAAATAGAAGCTGCCGGCTAAGTTTTTCCTATCTGCTTTCCCCTTCCTACTAATTATTGTCACAGAAACACATGAATAAAAATAATTACCAACCATTAGAAAAATGTCTACTTCAGATTCTGTTGTAACTTGCATGATACACACAGCTAGCTGGGATATGTTCTTCTGTGTCTGTCATTACTGGTTTGGATTCTTTTGTAATGGAGTACAAAAGGAATATATGTTTATTAGCATTCCTGAGTCTTAAAGAAATTGCCTTTTATATTTTATTCAAGTTTAATTTTTAGAAATTATTAAAAAGTACATTGAATTATACTAAACAGAAGTTGCCATTTTAAGGCTTTTACTTGGTATTGGGTATGAAACCACATCATTTAGTCACCTATTTATTTACTGTGGGAACATAAAGTTAATGTTGTTCTCTGACCTTAGAGAATTTAGAAATGTAATAGGGGGGACAAGACATTGTATAACTCAAGACTGATGGGCAATATCTGAAATCACTCATGGCTTAGATTTGCTAGAACACAAAGAATAAGCATTCTGGTAAGATGCAGTCTTACCAGAAGACTGTTACCTTTGTTGTTATTATCTGGGACAGTGGTGTTGAACCCATGGCACACGTGTTATTGTAGCTTTCTTTTAAGACAAGATGTGAATGTATGAGTTTTTGTTTTTTTTTTTTTTAAACTAACACCTCAGTATTCAGGTATAATTGCAGTGTTGGCACTTTGTGATAAATAAGTGGGTTTTGGGTAGCAGTTTGTATACTCAGCCTCTAACAGGTTTACTATCACTAATCTAGGAGAACAGCATTTAGGCTTTGAATAAATCCCAAATGGTTAATAAGGAGCCACTATATGTAGAATGCATGTTTGAAACATTTCTTAATATAGTGTCAACTTGGGGGGTACTGGAGATCAAACCTATGGGCATTCTTTATCACTGAGCTACATCTTTAGGTCCTTTTACTTACTTTTTAAAGATAGAGTGGCCAGGTGGTGCTTGAATTTATGACTTTCCTGCTTCAGTCTTTCAAAGTGCTGGGATTATAGATGTTTGCTGCCACAGCCAGCTAAAAGATTCCATGTAATTAGAATTAGAGACTCCTGGCTGTTGATATTCCGTCCCACTGTCATAAGCATCTCTCTCATAAAGTCAATTTAAATTAAGGTTTACAATACAAAGAAAATCCTAATTTGGAAGTTTATTGATTGCTATTTCATGCCAGGCACTCTACTAAATCTTAATACACACAGTCTCACTTATTTCTTACGATAGTAGATTCTAGGGTAAACCTCTTCACAGGTGGCGGAACCGTTGCTTAATTAGCCTATGAAACTAAGGTGGCTGAGTCAGATTCTGAAGGCAGCCTACTGGCTCCAGAGTCCTAGGTGCTAACCATAACACATGCCCTTCATAGAGATGTCTGCATTTAAATCCTCTTGGACTTATGTGGTTTATGAGTGGAATTAGCTCTATCTACCATATAGGTAAGAGGTATATTTTTGAAGAATGTATATTTGTCTTTTGTTAATTTTATGTTTAGGTGAGTATCTAGCTCCCCTAATTTGTGGCCCATTTACCTCTGGGAATTTACACCCTGCAAATCTATAAAGCATGTTAATTTGCTTATAAAAAACAAGTTTAATGAAAACTTAGAAGCAGGATATGCTAACTTGAAAAAGATAGTAATGAATTTAATTTTAAAAATAAAAATCAATGCTAGGATTTGGTTTTGCAGTTTTACTTTAATTCTTGTTTTTAAAAATCCTGAGATCCATATAATTTATATGTAAAAATATTTTGTAAAAACAGCATGTAAAAAGAAACCTTTTGGGAATTTTTTATAAATAGGAGCTCAGTGGTATCTAATGAAAGGCAACTGAGTTGGAATTTTCAGAAAACTTTTTCATTCAAGAATTACATTTGAAAATTCTGTTTCTGATTCTAACTGTTGTTACTAATTTTGCAAGTGGTCTGAGTCACGTCTGGTGGTGTCGGGGAGGGAAGGTGTTGCGGGGCCCTTCTCCATGCCACTGCGCACAGGCACACTGCATGTGCGCTGCTCTCCCGTTCAGTACTGTGCCATCCCTGCCTTGCACCTCCATCTTCCACACTTTGCTAGCTGGAGAACTGTAGGTCATTCATCCTGGTCTGCTAGAGCCAGTTTGTTTATACAGTGTCCTTTCCTGTAAAAAGACTCAGCAAAGTGGCTGGCAGGTAGTGGTTACTTAATAAATGTTTATTACTTCATTCTAGCCTTGAGCCCTTCGCATGCTAATTAACCTCTTCCATTTTGCCCTAACCAAGTTCTGTATGTGTATCTTGTTCAAGGTCAACACGTGGAAGTTTTTCTAATCCTAGTGCAGAAGACTTTAATATTGTGGAGCTTTTAGCCTCTGAAAGGACGCTGAATCCCAGCACATTGGTTTTCTCTTCTGGTCTGAACAGAAAGCCTCCCAAGGACAGAGTATCCCGTTTTCATCTTCACTGTCTGTCCCAGCACTAAGCCTCTGTGTACTTGGCAGGAGCCCAAAGATATACTTGTTGTCTGCTTAGTAGTAATTTTATATTCTACAAAGGCAGAACTTAATAAGCCTCTTTATTATTTATGTGAGTGTTTTTGGAGATTAAGTATGAAATAAATAAGGAAAAACTGCTTATGTCTCACTTCTGTCCTTAGAAGGTCACTGATTTCTGAGGCCAAGATTACGTAGAAGACCAACCACGAATGACACTTCTTAAGTCTAATTATATGCTGTTTGGTTTACACCTCTTTAAAGGGGGTTAAGATAAGGAAAGCAATGAAAATATGGTCTCTGCTTAAGAAGGTAGTTGTGAGCCATTTTAAGTCCGTGGAGGACTACTTTGCCAGTAACATTTGTTTTCCTGTTATATATATATATATATATATATATATATTTTTTTTTTTTTTTTTTTTTTTTTTTTTAATTTTTTTTAATTTTATTTTATTTTATTTTGGGGGGGGGACACAGGTGTTCTTGAGACAGGGTCTCACTATGCAGTTCAGACTGGCCTTGAGTCACGTTATAGCCCAGGCTGGTCTTGAACTTGCAGCAGTTTTCCTGCCTTTGCCTCCCAAGTGCTGGGGTTATAGGCATGTGACACTGTGCCCAGCTTTTCCCGAAGTACGGTTTAACATCTATGACATTTGGGGAGAGAATTAACTAAGGACGAGGTATACCTCCATGACTTCCAGTTTTTGTTTTCTTGGATGTGAAACACCTTAGGAACCTTTAATTTCTCTAATAATAGACTGGATAGATTATGATAATTTAATTAGTTTTTTTCTAGCCTTCATTTTGTGAGATTTTTGAGCTTCAGATCTATTTTCAGGTTGAAATCAGATTTAAACCTTGATAATTTTGTTCAAAATATGCTCTAGAATTACCATATTGAAAATAAAATAAGTCTTACTTTGAGTGTAGCTTTTGAACTTTTTTCTCATTGCTGGGACAAGATACCTGATGCTCAAAATTAAAGAAGGGAAGGTTTATTTAGCTCACAGTTTGTGGAATTTTCAGTCCATACTGAGCTGGTTCCAAGGCAGAGTGGCACATGGCAGAGAACAGCCATTCATGGTAGTGGTAAACAGCAAAGAGCAAATGGAGGAGCAGGGGCTGCAGCAGTTAGCAAGCCTCTCTCCCTTCCTTATATTGTATTCCTTATATTGTATCCCCCCAGGGCGAGTGTAGCACTCACACCCGTAATCCCAGCATTGGATCCTGAATTAATCACAAACTCTAGAAGCTTGCCCCAATGACTGCATGAGGCTCTGGGGGGACACCTAGACACATACCATAACAGACACCTAGTATCATGTTGTCTTTAAAAGAATTAAAGGTGGAATATTGAGATATGCTGAAATCATCAGATTTTAAAGTGTTAGTTTTTGTCCTGTTGTTCTGTGGCGCTAAGGATCAAACTCTGGACCTAACACATTAGGTAAGCACTGTAGCACTGAGCTATTTCCTTGGCCCTTTTATTTTTTGAGACAAGGTCTCTGAGTTTCCTTGACTGGCCTCAAACTTGGGATCCTTTTGCCTCAGTCTACCAGGAAGATAACATGTTAGAATTTCTAAAATTCCATTATAAACTACTTTTTTAGAAATCTCGTGTCTGATTCTTTTTTGTATGGATCACTTGTTATGTCTTTTATATCACATATACTTTGAGTGTGGGTACTTTCCCCCTACTTAGAACCCTAAACAAAGCTCATGGTGAATTGAGCAAATTGTGAACTTTCTGATTTATTAACTCATTTTAATGCAGCAACCTGCAAGGAAAGTATTGTTATTGTACCCAGTTTCCAGATGAGAAAACTGAGACAGTTGCCCATAGTCACTTAGTTCCTCCTCATACTACTTAGCATTTTTGGTGTATGCAGGTCGCTAATCTGTGCACTGTGCTGTGTTGAAAGGTGCTTTTAGGTAAGTGGCTCTGAGCTTTCTTGGGGCAGTTTGCCTTGTCACCACACTGTGATTTATGGGATGTGGATCAAAAGTAGCAAATGACAGCCCTCGTCCTGAGTTTTATACAGAACCTGAATTTTATGGAGCCAATAGCCACCAGATCTGAGAATATAAAGCCTAATCATACTAACCAGTTTTACAGCTCATGCTTTTCAGAATCATAGTTACAACTGTCAATTATGTTTTCTTTAAACTGTTGTGCTTAGGATTTTGTCTAATCTTGTATGGAGAAAGACAAAATACTGGAAAGTAATTGGGTGGCATTTTGATAAAATAGCACAGTTCTGACTCAGGGTGAGGCCTGCTCCACTGCTAGGAGTTCCTTTGTACTAAGTCCTCTGTTGCCATTCAGACTAGTGTGTCTCTGAAGGGTATCACTGGGAGCTGCTGCTCAATAGGGATGGAGTTTCTGTTCGGGAAGGTGAAAGCATTTTGTAGTTGGGTGGTATTGGCGGTTACACAATGGTGTTGGGGATGCACTTAGTGCTGCTAAACTCTATTCCAGAATACTTAGGCAGGGTGTGGTGACTCATGTTTGTCACTGCAGAATTCTGGAAGGCTGAGGCAGCCCAGCCTGGGCAAGTTAGCAACACAGCCAAACAGTGTCTCAAAATAAATTAATTAATTAATGATACTACTACTACTACTACTACTAATAAAAAGAATTAGGAAAGTAGTGCAATGCAAAGGCCCTGAGCTTCTTTGTGGGGATTCACTTTATATGCATTTATATTGCATATGGAAAAAAAGAAGAAAAGGGAGGGAAGGAGAGAGAAGGAAAGAGAGAAAGGAAAAAGAAAACAATTTTTGTCATGGGTATTATGCCATGATCAGAACAGAAACATGTATTTTTTAAAGTTTTTTTTTTTTCCTTTTTCTTTTCTTTCTTTATTTTTTGGTGGTACCAGGGATTGAATTCAGGACCTTGCACTTGCCAGGCAAGCAGTTATTCCACTGAGCTATCTCCCTGGCCCCCCCAAACAGAAACATTTTTTAAAAGAAAATGTAATTATTTAAGCCAAACCTATGTAAGTGTTACTACTATGTGTGATTTTATGTTGGTGTTGAATGACATGCACTGACACAGTGAGCTTATGCTTCTGGCCTAGGGAGACAGTGCTAGTGTGACGTTGAAGGTCTCTACACTGAGACTGTTTGGTTCATGTCCAGGCTGCACTGTTTACTTGCTGTGTGATCTTGGATAAGTCATACGCCTTTCTGGGCCCTGGTTTCCTGATTGTGGAACAGAGATAGTAATAATACTTTATTGTGTCATTATATTAAATGAAATAAGAATGCATGAGATACTACTTGTCACGTTAAGTGCTAGATGGACCGGCCACTAGACATAAATTCTAAACTACATTATTGGCATAAATACATCTATAAATGTAAACCTAAATTTATTTATTTATTTATTTATTTATTTATTTATTTATTTTTAGGTAAAAGAAATAGGAGATTACTTTAAACAACACCTTTTACAGTCCAGGCACAGAGGAGCATTTGAACTGGCTTATACAGGTTTTGTGAAACTCACTGAAATACTAAACAGGTAAAACAAATAACCTTTTGTGTAGGTTTCTAAAAGAATAAATGTATAAACCATGTGTTTGGAATAGAATGTAATTGTGTCTTTTGATGTTGAAAAGAATAAAGACTTGCTTGGCTGCAAGACTCCTGGAAGAAATGGTTTTCTTAGGTTTCATTGTATGATTTACTGCAGATGATTGAGTGAAATGTCCAAGATGCTGTCTCATTGAAAAGTGATTTGAAGCAAACTCAAAGATCTTGCTAAAAATAGCTTTGGAATTACTGTTTCTTTTCATTGAATGAAATGAGTGTTTTGTCTGTTTGAAAATTACTTGGCATTTAAAATAGATTGAACCCTGGAGATTTTGGATATATGTGTGTGTGTGTGTGTGTATGAGAAATATATATATTTTGGATATATATATATGAGAAATATATACATTATATATGTATATATATATATATATATATATATGTATGTATGAGAAAAACTTTAGGATTTTGTCTGTTATGTTGTAATTTAAAAAAAAAAAATAGCAAGTAGACCAAAAAGTATAAAAGATACTGCCCCAACCTGCAAAAATACTTAGGCAAATCTTATATATTTAACCAAATTATATTTTTTCATATTATATGTGCTGATAATTTCATTCATTTTTATTTTAGATTTTCTCCAAAGAGCTTGTGAAGAAACCTTAAATTAGTTAATGACTAAGTGTTCATGGCAAGTATTCTCTAAATAAAAGGTAGTATTTTCCAGGAAAACATTTCTGTTGCCTGGAAACTTTTTGACATGAAGCAGAGTTTTGCCAGCCTGTAGCTTCAGCAAACATTTTTTTTCAGGCTGCTAAGACATCTACTTGAGTATTTTTGAAACTTTTTTTGCCCCACTCGGTACAAACATTTATAAAATACCTTGGCAGTTATGGACTGCGCAGACTATCTTTACGTGATCTTTTTAAAATGCCCCGACGTTAAACTGCTGATCTTGAGAATATTTTTATCTTTGCAGTTCTTTGATTCCAGTGTAGACATGACTTAATGATTTTTTAAAATCAGTCAGTCTGTTTACCTGTTTATTGTAGTACTAGGGACTGAACTCAGGGCTTTTGCACAGAACTGTATCCTCGACCCTTCTTTAATTTTGAGGCAGAGTCTCACTATGTCACTACATTGCCCAGGCTGGCCTGGAACGTGTCATCCTTCTACCTCAGCCACCACACCTCACTGTGAATATGTACTATTTTTCTTATAGTGCAGCATACTGTATTCCCTTCAGCAGTTAACCCATACATACAGAATATTATCTGTATGCTTGGTACTATATTTGGTATGGAGAATATTATACTTTATAGAATATGATTCCCATAACCTTATGGGTTTCGGAAATAAGTAGGGATGAATTTCAAAATATTTAAAGAAGGTCTGCCATGGGTATTAACCAGATACCGCAGGCACTCAGGCACTTGGTATCTCCATAAGTGTGGATGTGTGTTAGCTGAATACCAGCCTGGAAAGTAAGAGCAATATACGTCACACAGCGAAAACACCATACTGCACTGAGTGAAGAAGGTAGCTCAGCGGTCGAGCCTTTGCCTAGCATGGGTTGAGGTCTTGAGTTCTCACCACCACTAAAAAATCTGCCAAATTTTGGATGAAAGTGACAAATCCTTTAACACCAGCAGAGGGAAAAATTAACAGGGTATGTCTTTGCTAGAGGTATGTCTAGTACCTGGAGGAACTAGAATTTGTGCTCATAATGATAAAGATTTAAATAAGTAGGAGAAAGAAGGCAATCTCTTTAAGTGTTCCCAAGTTGGAATCAGTAAGCCTGGCTTATTCGATGAATAAGTAAGTTGGCTTCCCTGCAGTGCTGCTGCTGGTGGTGTAGAGTTTGCAGGAAACACCATACAGTGGAGTAGAATGAAACCAAATTGTGGAGTGCATTGAAAGTATATTTGCTGTAATAAGGACAGAGAGAACCATCACGTTTTTGATCTGAAATAGACTTTAAGGAGCATCAAAAATAGAAAATGATACTCTCATTTTTAGTTCTATGTACATTCTCTTTATTGGTAATGAGACTGTACAAAAGTTAATATTCTTAATCTCTGATGTCGTCATCTCTAAAGAAAAGAATATTTCTTTACTGACAGATCTCTGGCTTTTGTTACATAATCAAATTAAATAGATATTTATGAAGACTTGTATCATAGAATATCTTACAAATGTAAAATATTATGAGATTGGTTTTGGTTGTGGGTTTTGTGAGTTAGGTTAGGTAGATTGTAATGATGGATTACAGCAAAGAGAGCCTGGATTCAGTCACTGCAATCCAGATCTCAGCTGAAGAGGGTTTCCTCTATGACAGTGGGTCTGGGAATGGAGATAAAGATGTCACATTTTAGTTAACATTTGACCTCATACAGTAGCAGCACCACACATGACATATGAAATGATCAGAAGGAAAGTTATAGACACATTTATTGCATTGCATGATTGTGTGTATCAGGAGTCTCAGGACGTGGCTCAGCTGGGTGATGTTTCTCTTTGAGTGACGTTTGAGTTCAGTTGGTGGCATTCAGTCACCACGTAAAGTGGTTGGGAGGGATCTAGGCCAACTCTGCTCATATATGTGGCAGTTTGGTGAGGACAGCTGAATGCCTAGCACTAGTTGGCACAGTGTGCGTCTTTTCACTCAGTGTGGCAGTCTTGAGGCAGCTATGCTTCTTACATGGCAGCAAGCTTCGGTCAGAGGAAGTAACCCAAAAGAACCAGGCCAAAGCTGTGTGGTCTTCTCTGACTTAACCTTGGAAGTCTCCTAGCTCGGCTTCAGTCACCTTGTCTCAGGTGTGAGTCTTTCAGCCAGGTTGGACTTAGCCACCTTTTGCTAGCAAAGTGGCAAAATCCTATGGCTGGCTGAAGTATAGGGGATTGGATGAGGGATTGTGGTGGTTGTCATTGAAAAATGAGTCTTCCACTTGAACCAAGTGAATTTAAGGAATTGGGGTTGTGAAGGAGTCTGCGTTTGCCCTTTTGGTTGTAGGTTCTACTGACCAGCAAAATGGGATTGATGTTACCAAAGTCAGGAAACTCCAGCTTTGTTCCTAAGAAAAGAGTCAGTTGGGATGACAAGATGAGTGAGTCTGCATCCATGAGTGAGCTGTGTCAAGCGTGAGATAATGATAGCATTCCCTGGTGGAAGTGTTTAAAGCAGCACTTGGAGGTAGCACATTGATTTAGATGGTGTAGCAGAAACAGAGAAGTCGATATGTGATTTGCCTTCATAACATCATTATTACTAGAATAGAAGTCTTTAGCAGAGAGCATAAAAGGAGAAAAAGCAACCAAAGACAGAGGTCTCTGAAGCACTGGTCCCATGCTGGTATCTGAGCCACTGCTGATCTGCTGTAGAGAGCTCCTCTTAGCTGCCACTGTTGGTTTTAACCAATCTGTTACAAGTTTTTGGATGTTGCCTGCAAACCAAGTGGTTCTTGATCCCTTTGGAGACATTTCAGATCCGCTGAACAGAATGTTTCGCACAGAACATCTTTATAGTGTGTGTGGCTTCTTGTTTAGTTTTTATTTTTAAAAGAAACTTTGTTTCTTTTGGACCACTTCAGAAAGCTTGTTATATGCTCTTAGGTTACGAAAAACTTATTTAGGCACAAAACATTTAAAACGTTTGCGAAAAGGAGAAGTTGTTCATGAAAATCCACCAAAATGGAGGCCAACTGCTGGCCACCTCCTGAACTGCAGCTGTGTTGAGGAAGGAAGTACTTAAGGAGATTAATGAATAAATAACTGAAGAGTTCAGCTGAGCCATATTGTTTAAATTGGCTTCTAATAAGATTATTCAAAACATTTTCAAATGTAAACTGACTCTACTATTAAACAATCATCTAAGGATAAATAAGAATGGGAAAGACATTCTGGGAAATTTTTTGAGAGCAGGTCTTGTATACCTAAAACACACAAAATGCTGAGTTAATTTTCTGTAATCTGATTTTCTTATGTAGTGATTTCTATTCAGAATTTGATGCACTATTTTTACTTTCTTACAAAATATCATTACTGTCTATATAATTACATGTCTAAAAATTTAATTGGGGTGGTTAAGTACATTAAAATTGTAACATATTTATTTTTTGTTTGTTTGTTTGTTTTGAGACTGGTCTGGCTATGTAGTTCAGGCTGGCCTTGAACTTACTGTGTAGCTCAGGCTGGCCTCGAACGCATGGTGATCCGCCTGCCTCAGCCTGTTGCATAAGCCACCATACCCACTTAGAAGTTTTTAATAAAATTCATAACTGCCAAGGCCCTGAGTTCAATCCCCGGTTCTGAAAAAAAAAATTCATAACTGCTTCCTCTTATGATCTTAGAATTAGAAGTTGCTCTTTCAGTTGAAATGAACAAAAGCCTAAATTAAGATGGTGTATTGGAGAATTTAGCTTTCATTTTCCAATCATAAACTTTGTTTATAAGGAGACAGTATTGTTGACTGTAAAATCTAGCCTGGACATTTGTGACAACTTTGTGGTATCTTACTGTCATATCTTTGAATTGTGCTACTTATTGAAGTGTGGTTTACCCTACAAATATTTATTGCAATAATTTTCTCATTATGAGCCTCAAAAAATGAGCTGCTGACATTTAGTAGCTACTGTCAAAATACCAGCATTGACTCATGGAGATCAGCGATTATGATGGTCATAAATAATTTATTTTATTTTATTTTTTTTGCGGAACCAGGTATTGAACTCAGACCCTTGTGATTACCAGGGAAGTACTTATTCTACTGAGCCATCTCCCTGGCCCACGTCATGAGTAATTTAAATGCATTTGTATTTAAACTTTCTTCACAGTTAATTTTAGCTTCCGTAATTCAAACTCAATAGAAAACTTTTATGAATAGTTGAAACACGATAGTGAAATAATTTCTTTTAATGTCGAATGTGAGGTTTTGGGAAAAAGTCATTCACCCTGAATAAATTTTATTCATATTTCCTTTGGACGAAAGTA